CCGATTGTTCTGCCATTTAAACCTATGGTAAAGAATCGATTACTAAGGTGTTCGCTGCGAACACCCTGACTATCGATCCTTTTCCATAGGTTTGAATGGCACAACAATCGATATATCGCAAAGCACGCCACGCCACTGCTTTACGCCCCAAGAACTTTTAAGCACCATCCAATTATTACGTGCTTCTATCGGGCAATCCTCGCCCACTCCGCGCCCAGTCGCTCAACTCGGTGGACAGCTTCCGTAACTATCCGCAACTAGAAAAATGATCTTTTATCAAACTCATCGTGGCCCTTTTTTATGCAACCCACCGGGAATTCTTTTAATTTTTTTACGGAAAATAAATAATTCGTCGTCTCCCTCGCGAAATAACGTAACTCCAATTTAGTGTTGCCAAATTGTCCCTCACAAATTACACGATAACTAGGAGAATCCTGGGCATTTCTAACTGAAAATATCACTGATTTTTCCTCAGAGTTCATGCAAAATTCGGACAAATTGAGGATAAAAATCGCTCGGGTGGAGTTTTGTGAAATTAATTATTTGTTTGAGTCAATTTAGCAACCTTGGAATGAAGTTACGTTCCTTGTCCGGAAGACGGCTAATTAATTAAACTTGTAAATGCAGTCGCTCGATGGATATAAATATATTTTTCACGAGAAGGGGTTGACGATAACGATGTTACGTGCGGTGTTTTAATTTTGAAGTAGGTCACGTGTGACTTCGTAGACATATTCCACAATTAGTTAGGTTAGGTGCGACTTCGTGAAAATATTCTAAAGTTAGTTACGACCAGGCCCGCCACATCTCATCATGGGAACTGATACCAGGTTTAAGGCCCAGGCCCCAAGCACGGGGGTGGGGAGCCGAGGGGCATGCCCCGAGGAATTTTTGAATTTGTAAATCTCTTCGGACGCATTTTGAAGCCTCGATGACGAAGAGATGTAATAAGAACGGAAATTTTGAAACACTGCAATGGAGATACGTGGTTTCGCACTTCAGTCGGTGCGATACGGACATCCATCAAGTTTAAATAGTTGCATCAAGTCCCCGTCACCGCCGACCAACGCGTCTTTCGATCGAATCAACTACAGGTAGTGAGAGCAGGGAGTCAAAACGGCCTCAATTTTTTGAACGCAATACGGACATTCGTCGAGGTTGTATAGTTGTATCAAGGCGCCTTAGCGAACGCGTCCGGTTGTTTTTCGTTACAGACGAATATATGTTGAGAGAGGAAAGTCATTATGCCTTCAATTTTATACATACATATTTTTGTGCAAAATAAGAGACGACGTTTCTCCATTTGCGACGTTGCAGACTTCCTTAGAAATTTTATTTTTTTCTCGAGAAGGTGGTCAACGTGAAACTTAAATTCTCCATGATTTTTCGTATTCGATAGCGGAAGATTTGGTTCAAAATTTAAAGTCGTAAATTTGGATTGTTTCTCACGGAAGAGATGAAATAAGAACGGAAATTTTGAAACACCGCAATGGAGATACGTGGTTTCGCACTTCAGTCGGTGCGATACGGACATCCATCAAATTTAAATAGTTGCATCAAGTCCCCGTCACCACCGACCAACGCGTCAGTCGATCGAATCAACTACAGGTAGTACGAGCAGGGAGTCAAAACTCCTTCAATTTTTTGAACGCAACGCGGACATCCGTCGAGGTTGTATAGTTGTATCAAGGCGCCGTAGCGAACGTGTCCCACTGTTTATCGTTACAGACGAATATGAGTTGAAAGAGGACAACANGGGGGGGGGGGGGGGGGGGTCAGTTGGAGTGTCAAAATGCCCTCAATTTTATGCATACATATCGATGGGCTAAATGAGAGATGACGTTTCTCTGTTTGCGACGGTGCAGACTTCCTGAGTAAGTTTACTTTTTCTTCCGATTACTTGTGAACTAAAAACTTAAAACTTTCGTATTTTTTACCGTTTTTAATGATTTACGCTTTTATTCGCCACTTGTGAGCCTCAATAAACTTTTTAAGCATTTTAGACCCGAAAATAGTACTTCTTGGGTCATGTTACCAAAGATTATCCTGGTTTCAGCTTAATCGGTGAGCTTTAGATTTTGACCTCGAAATGTTAGCCCGCATGCAACCCCAATCGATATTTCTAAATTTTGAAAAGGAGAAAAATGAGATTCGTTTCGCCTTCAACTACGTTGGAGACAAAGATTTACTTGTTCATAGTCCCGAAGTTTATCGCGACTTCCAACGCCGAGAAATGGGTGTTTTTAACAGTTTTTAAAAGTTCAGTCGCATGAATTCTGATAGTGCGGTTCAGCGAAATATCAGAACTTCCTGGACCTGAAAATTGAACTCTTCGGGTATTTTTACACGGGACTAACTTTGTTTCAGCATGATCGGTAGGTTTTTGATTTTGACCTCGAAATAGTCCACGTAACCCTTGTCTACTTTTCTGTCCAATTTTATGTAGTTCGAGGCGTCGATTTGATCGCGCTTGGCCACCGGGCTTTGCGCGGCTTCCTCAGCCTGAGATTGAATAGTTGCATCAAAGCGTTGTCACCAATGCGTCCATCAATCAACCAGCTTCCGCCTTCAACTAATGCACCGGGAGTCAAAACGCCTTCAATTTATTGAGTGCCACACGGGCATCCGTCGAGCTCGAATACTTGTGTCTACTCGTTGTTATCAACGCGTCGGCTTGTTAATCGACCGCTAAAGACAAGTGCAGATATTGGAAAGAAAAAAATGAGGCACTTAAGCTCTTGCAAATCCAAAACGAATATCCACCTACCAAATGATTCGTCTCATCCATTCCCTTCGGAACAAGTGAGATTTCGGTAGCTAGACACTTAACCCAATTTTTTTTACCATATACCTAGTTTGGCAAACTGATTCAATCCAAGTCATACTTCGGCTGTGTTGCTCACCTAGCCGTTTAAGCACCTCTACGAATCAGAACGGGACCGACACAACACGGAAATAGAGTAAGAAAGGACTCTCTTTGATGACGGCGCAGATGTACCAATAGTCGTGCTTGATGGATGTCCATGTTGTAGACAACCTTGGCCCCTTGCTTGTGTCACATGCGCACAGTGAGAGATTTACCGTGTTACGTTCTGGACGCAACACAATGCATGCGGGAGGATTCCTCTATCTTGTTAACTCAAATCAGTAAAATTGTAAACTCACTTGCACGTGTAAATATTAATATGAATATTTTTACGTGTAAGTGAGTTTAAAATTTTATCGATCATTTATCTTGTGCGAGTCTCCAAACGAATCTTGTTAACGCAGTGTTTAATGAGGATTGTATTCGAATGTAGGTTTACTGAAAGTAACAGCGGACCATCAAATACAAAGAAGGAAGCTTTGGGTAAAATTTTTTGGAGATAGTTTCTTTAGCTTCGACTCCTAATCAGTTGAAACTGGTTCTATCCTAGGTTTTCCCCCACCACGATGCAATGGAGACGACTTGAAACCATTTCCAGATAACGTCTCTTTGAGAGCCAAAGGAGAACGAATCAATGAAGAAATACGTTTTCCTCGTCAAGAACGATTCATATTGCAAAGGGTCAGTTTTATTTGAATGAACTGAGTCAGCATTTTTTAATTAGGCAGTCGTTGAATATCGAAATTTAAATAATTTGATCCTACTCATCATTTTCTTTAACATTCAATGAGCTACTTTTATTCGAACCAGATTAATTTTCTGACATAAAACAAGTTTTATCCAGGACAAATAAACTCTCATGAAAAGAAAAAATCCTGCTTCATTTATTAAAATAGTCGAAAACGTTGTCTTGTTTCCTAGATTTACCTTATTTGTGTATAAAAACGCAGTAAAGGATACTGTGCATGAGGAAAGGCTTGAATGCTTATAGACAACATTGCGCCAGTTCGAGAATCCGTGAGAGACTTGTAGACAGCTACTTTCCCGTGTCCTCCAATTTCTTCTCTCGAGCGCGACGCAGAAGTAGACTACCGCGCTAAGGAAGAATGCCCTATGAACATTCGAGAGTTGCCAAATTTCCTTCAATAAAAAGTTCATATTTGAGGAAAGTTATAAATGTTTTTCCTTTAAATTTTCAGAATCTTTAGGTCACATTTTGAAGCAAATTATCTGAAAAATTGGGGGAGGGGGGGGGGATATTCATAAATTTACCAGGAAATTCGCGTTTTATAAAAGGAAATTTGGCAACGGCTGAAGGTTCATACGGCGTTTTTCCTTAGCATGGCAGTGGTCGTGATCCGATCCCGTCTCGGCAAGGAACAAAAGAGGAGAGTCGATTCGAGGGCCGAGAAGAAATCCATACTGATGATTGCCTCGAAAACGCATCATTAGAAAACCCTTGACTTGAGATCCTGGCGGGAAAGTTCTCAGCGCCGATTGCAGCGTTATTTAACTTCCGGGATTCTTCGACGAGACAAATTCAGGAGAAGTGGACAACCGCACATTGTAAGAGTAATCCTAATCGTGAATGAAGCAATGTTTCTTCTACTGTAGAGTCTTAGAGAGTCTCATTTTATAGAGTATTCTTCTTACAGGGGGTGCCCTATATAATAAGAATACGAGTAGACAATTGTTGACAATTGTTGTTGAATCGCCTATTGTTTCCGACTGAAAATGACTCAGTTTTGAGTCGAAGCGTCTCGGGTTTCATTAATTGTGTATTTTTAGCCTTGTTTCCCGTTTTTCCTCCTTGTTTTTTCCACTGTCATCATTGTCCTGTACTGCTCTTAAAAATTTGTATCTATAATAAGAATATCAACGTTTTTTTGAACTTCAATAATTGTTAAGAAAAATTAAAAAACAAATATACACATAAGCTTGGTTCTTTTCTACTTAATGTGGTCTACATAACCCTCTACTATGCGGGACTGAAATGAAGTACAAAACGAATTTTGTCAATAATGTGTTTGACGCTGCGAGATTTTTTATTTCTTCGCGTAATCTTCCTGCATTATTTTCTTCTTTAAAACTGCGATCTCTATTTTTGCCTCAATTCAGTCTCATTTTTTCACAGGTTCGGGCCTTCTGGTGTACGAGAGTGCATTCTGTGCGATGCTGGACTCGAACATGCCTGCCAATTGCCCCATATATGAACTGAGTTTTCTAATTTTCTTCCTCATTCCAATGCTCATTATCATAGTTTTATACGTCCGGATAGGCTTGAAAATTCGAAAGCGAAATAGGCATTCTCTGGGCAAGAGAGTGGAGGGCACTGTTCACGGAGAAACTAAAAACTTCCAGTCTAGAAAGTCTATTATTAGAATGTTAAGTAAGTATGTACCCACAATAAGTAGCTATATAATTTAAAATTACATTGGTGGACACCTCCCGCTTCCCCCAATATGAATTTAATTGATTTTATTTTAGCCAGACTCAGTACGAGTTTAAAGTTGGATTGCATTTTGCAATTTGGAGCCATACATTCTTGCACATCTGAAAAAACACTTATTTGCATAGGGAAACTAATGGCACATGCGTTGTTTTTAAACCGGGCCGGAATTTATAGTTCCTAATTGCAAAATGTAGTCCAATAGGAAATCAAGCTGTCTACTTCACACTCTAATTATTAAGTGCAGTGAAAAACATTTTGCGATGAAGAACCACGATTTCTGGCTCCTGATCTAAGCCACGAAACAAATAATCGAAGATTCATTTCAACAAACCGAGGATTTATTTCTTCGCACCAAAAAACTTTGGTTCACATGGATATGTCCCATATCGACCAAAGTTTCGGTTCGGTTGACTGAGACTTTGGTGCATTGAACTGCATTTCTATGGTGAAAGTGCAGAAGTGCGTACCTATCTTGGAGAACACGATTTTCCAGGAGAGTAAAAAACAAGACGACGGTTCCAACGTTAAGACGTTGAAGAGCGTTCACCGTAGCACCTCGTCAATATGTAAAAGTTGTTTTGCGCGGACGGAAGAGAGCGCCGCAAGACGCTGTTGAACTAGACGTGAAGCGTAACCTAGGAAACATACATATATACACATACATGTCACTATGGAGTAAAATATAGGGGTCATTAGTGATTGGGTGCTTTGTACCCAAAATTTTTTTTAGAACTCCGACGACAAAAAATTTGAACGATGCTTGAAACAGTCATTAAATAAAAGTACGTTGCACACTGGAAAAAATGCACATTGGATCTTGAGTCCAGACTCTTAAATACATCGAAAAGAAAAAATACTCTCGATTCAATCAGTTTTAAGCTTAAATCAAGAACCGAGCCCCTTAATTTGAGCGGATTTCCTTTTGATTTAAGCTTAAATCTGATTGAATCAAGCGTCCTTTTTCTTGTCAATGTTTTCAAGAGTCTGGACTCAAGATCCAATGTGTTTTTTTCCAGTGCAGAGTTTGAAGACGTAAGAATACTAATTTTTCAAGACAAGCCTACTAGTATTACATAAAGTGGACAAAATAGGAGAAAAAAGGTAAAATGGTAACTTAAAAAAATTGAGAAAATAGGTATTGCTTCCCGCCACGAAAAATGGCGCTGATACCCATGGCACAGTGCGGGCCTTTACCAATGGATACATTCGTAACATAGTCGATGGAAAACGACGGGAAAGAGCGTCCACTACTAACGCGGTGAACGCTCTAAACTGTCTACATTCCTCTATATTGTTAGGAGAAGGATAATAATTCTTAAGAATAGCAACAATAAGATGTTTTTTCAGACTCCATCAGCATTTTGAACAATCTCGAACTGTTAGGAAACACGGCAGAAATGCCGATATCATAAGAATGTAAAGTGCCTACCGAACTATTTTTTTCGTACTACGGAGGTTTTTCCTCGGTTTTCATTTTAACCGATCCGATTATCGTGCTTGAATCCAGGTGCAGTTGTGATAACGTTCTTCCTCTGCTGGGCCCCGTTCCACGCGCAACGGCTCATGTACGTGTACGCGCGGGACACGAAGTACTTCTCGGAGCTGAACGAGTGGGTCTACTACATAACCGGCGGGCTCTACTACGTCTCGTCGACGGTGAACCCGATCCTGTACAACCTCATGTCGGTCAAGTACCGCAACGCCTTCAAGGCGACGCTCTGCAGCATCAACTCCCACTCGTCCCGCTCGAGGGACCGCTTCTCCAGGGACATCCAGTCCAGCTTCCGGGACACCATCGTCGAGGTCGGCCACGACTCCCCGCAGTGGAACAAAAAGTCCGTCAAGAGCAAGCCCCTCGCCCAGACGGACGTCGTCGTCATGGTCAAGCCGGCCAACAACGCCTGTACAGGTAAACCCACCCCATTTCTTAGCCAAATGCGCTGAAAAGAAGGGGCCAATAGAGAATGGAGATGTTGCGTGTGCGAGGAATCTGCGATTTGACTGTTGATTCTTCTTTGTCAAATGTGCTGGAAGGAAAGGGCCAATAGAGAATGGAGACGGTGCATGTATGAGGAATCTGCGATTTGACTGTTGATTCTTCTTTGCCAAATGTGCTGAGAGGAAAGGGCCAATAGAGAATGGAGACGGTGCATGTGTGAGAAAATTGCGATTTGACTGTTGATTCTTCTTTGTCAAATGTGCTGGAAGGAAAGGGCCAATAGAGAATGGAGACGGTGCATGTATGAGGGATCTGCGATTTGACTGTTGATTCTTCTTTGCCAAATGTGCTGAAAGGAAAGGGCCAATAGAGAATGGAGACGGTGCATGTGTGAGAAAATCGCGATTTGACTGTTGATTCTTACCATTCCTGCATTTCAGCAGATTAGATAATTTTCTCATATCTTCTCCAATAATTGTTCAATTCATAAACCAAAAGTATCCTCGTGTTCAGTTCACTCAGTAGTTTCCAATTAAACACGAAATTCATCATATTACAGACACCTGCAAATGGAGATGTTGCATGTGTGAGGAATTTGCGATTTGACTGTTGATTTTTGTGTAAAAGTTCGCGAGAAACACGATGGTGCCACTGGTTTTCTCTGAAATCAACTCCTAAGCTCAAAAAAGCTCTCAAGTTGAGGCCAAAATAGAGGGGATAGCCCACGCTATCCTGAGAGTCCACATCTTACATCAAGACAAACTCTCCATGCAAAGATAGGGAGCAAATACATTGGTAGGGTTGCCGTGTTTTCAGTTTTGGAGTCCCCAAATAAGGTGGCAGCCCTGTCAATGTATTTGCTCCCTATCTTTGCATGCAGAGTGTGCAAACATATAAAAATCATGAGTTGAAAAACGCTGACTCCGCGAGTTTAAATAATAGGCCCTTGCATAAAGCGGAGTGATGCGACGTGCTGCCAGCACGAAACGCGCACTGGCGCCTACAAACCTAAGCAGATACTTCACGCATTGCGCAATGCTTGAGGTATCCCTTAGGTTTGTAGGCGCCAATGCGCGTTCCGTGCTGGCTGGCTGGCAGCGCCGCGCCGCAGCGTGCCACGTGCCACGGCGCTTCACTATTTTACAATAGAGGTGTTGTACAGTATTATACGAAATTGAAGGCACTCCAACATACCAACAATTAGAATGACAGGCATCCTTTAAGAGTGCGGAACTTATAAAGTTACAGAACTTAGAAAGCTTACGGAACACCTCTTTGGTGCAACAGGACTTAATTATCTTTCAAGAAAATCCCATATTTTTATACCTGAACTGGAAAATCTTTTGCTTTGCCTCAGCTAAAGGTTCTCATGTTTTTCCTGTAGTGCCGCAGCGCTTCGAGCTGCTACTTCGCCACGGAGGTGTTGCACAGTATCATATGAGATCGAAAGCACCCCAATGTATCATGATTGATGGTGTCTTTCAAAAGCAGGAAGTTCCCTCGCAAATTAAATCGAGTGACGACAACAAAAAGAGAGCGGTAGTTGAAAAACTTACTGTCCTAGTATCATTTAATAACGTTTAGTATGACTTTTAACTTCAGTAGAGGAACAAGTGACCTAATTTAAGGAGGAATATCCTCAAATTTACCGCCGAGAAGATTTCTTTATGAGTCAATAAAGAAAATAATATTTTCTTAAGGAAGTAAAGATACTTTTATAAAAAGGAAAGTCATCTACATCAAGCAGAAACCCGCTTTTGTTCACCTATTTTATTATTGATTCAAAATAAAATCTTCTTGACGGCATACTCAAGAATGTTCCTTTATCTCTCTTATCTCGACTTATTTTGCAAGGAAAGTTCCGTACTCTTAAAGGACGCCTGTCATTCTTATTGTTGGTATGTTGGAATGCCTTCAATTTCGTATCATACTGTACAACACCTCTATTGTGAAATAGTGAAGCGCCGTGGCACGTGGCACGCTGGCGGCGCGGCCAGCCAGCCAGCCAGCACGGAACGCGCATTGGCGCCTACAAACCTAAGGGATACCTCAAGCATTGCGCAATGCGTGAAGTATCTGCTTAGGTTTGTAGGCGCTAGTGCGCGTTTCGTGCTGGCAGCACGTCACATCACTCCGCTTTATGCTAGGGCCTGTTATTTAATCTCGCGGTGTCAGCGTTTTTCAACTCATGATTTTTACATTTTTGCACACTCTGAATGAATTACTTTAATTTAAATTGATACATTTTCCCTTTGAGAAATGGGAGTAGTCACTAAAACGATTAAATTGCTCTTGCAAAGGTCTTAAGAATATCCTATGTAAAATTTGGTACTTAATTGCATTGCATGTTAATCGTGATTTCAAATACAGCTTTTAATACTTTCTTTTTGCCTCGACCGTTTACGTTAGCATATTTTCACTTATTGTCCTTTTCATTTTTTGTTCCAGGAGCTAATGGTCGAGAGCACAGTCCACTCTTGTAACATTTCGGAAAATTAATCTGGCAATTTCTTGCTTAACAGACTTTATAAGGCATCACTAGCTGTAGTGATATCTTCACACTTCACAGCCATTCAACTAGGTTCTCAAGATTGGTATCGAGAAATTTCGTCCTGCTTTTAGAGTTGGAGCACCGAATCAGGAGCTTTGCGTGTCAAAATTCGTACCAAACGGTGTATGTCTTTCTGTTGCCTAAAACCTGGATTTTAAGAGGTCCAGGGCTCTTTTCCTAAAATTTTGTCGTTCGTATTTTTAATCGGCAACTTCATGAGAAGGAAAGCTCAGTTGAAAAGGCCACAGTCGTGTTAACAAGTAATGACTGACGTGTATCATACTTGGTGTTTGCGGACTTAAGACTCGATGACAGCGCCTGGATGCAACTTTACGAGCTTAAAGGATGTGCGTGTGGCATCATTATGAATTGAGGGCACTTCTGTTTTTCTATTTTACCTGTGGCGGGATGGGCATGGCCTCTTCATTTACATTCAATACATTGGTGAGATGTTCTTTTGTCGGCGAGAGACTTAAGAAGAAAGAGAAAAACCAAAAAAAATGTAGGACATCTCGGCCATCAAAAAGTTTCGAAAATAATGCAACTCGAAATTACATGGATCCTCATGGCGGAAAGTAAGTTGAAACTGACTTTTTGATGCTTAAAAATTGAAAGTCGGGAGCGAATTTTTGACAGAATAAGCATCAAGACTAGTTTTACTTGAAATCATTAATACCTCAATTTTTCGAAAACTGCACTTATGCGCCTTGTCCTCCAAGTCCCTCAATTTTAATTTAATTTTTAATTTCAAACTCAATCAACAACCTAAATCAATTTTGGTTTTAAATATATTTAAAAATACCCATTCATCAATCTTTCCCTCAATGAAAATAGGTTGATGCCCATCTATTCCTTTCGATCAAATCATCGTGCCCTAGCTCTCTCGCTGAAAGGTCACGGGCTCAGATATCAGGTTTGTAATCTTGTAATGCGACGGAGTTGATAAAACTGTCTCAGAGCAAGAGACAGAATAATCCTCATAGTTCTGAAGCTATTAGCATGATGAGACTCGCATTTTATCCACTTGTCCACGCCCACCAGTGCACACAAAATCAATCAAAATGCAAATGTTTCGTCTATCGAGAAACTTGGCTCAGCTATGAGTGATGGATCACTCACTCCAGCTCTGAGATATGCAGAGATTTACCCAGGTACTTAAGACGGTCGATTTGAAGAAGCTAAGTTTCGCGTTGAGAGTCAAAATACAGAGTGAATCAGTAGCGAGACGTGAATGATCGATTATCGATATTTCCCCATTAGTAGTTATGGCAATGAATCGATTATTAAGGTGTTCCTTGCGAACATCCTGTCTATCGATTCTTTTCCATAGGTTTAAATGGCAGATTGATCGATATATCGCAAAGCACGCCACGCTACTGGAGTGAATGTGTTTTACATAATGCTCCACATCCAACTTATGATTTTCAATCCATCAATGATACTGCAAAGCTGGCAACAATCTATTCAAGTTTTGGCAAGCTTCTTAATTGGGGATTTGCTAGCACAAGCGACGGTTGTTTGCTTCTTCCCCACCCAACTTGACCTAATTTCAAATTTGCTGATAACGATAATGTGATGAACGCGTGAAGGAACTGAAACTTCGAATACGTGGGTAAAATTTCCTGACCTACATTTCCTCCTTGTTTTTATTTTATTTTAATTAGTGTTTTGGTGTTCCTTTTCCTTTCTTCTTTTTCTCGTCTTTGGGATAAGCAGAGATAAGAGTTTTAAAAAATAAATGTGGATTTAGATGACCTTACTCTTCAATTATTGACGGCGGTGTGATCTTTGAAATTTCAAAAAAAATTAGGTACCGTCAAAAAAATAAACTGTTTAGAGTCAGTGTGATTCTTGAAATTTGGATGGAGTCACGGTCTCGAAGTTGGGGAAAATGATAGAGATAACGCAGGTCTCACATTTGTCACCTTGCAAACAGCGATCATCACCGATAGGTCGTGATTCCGCGCGTTTTTGCCGAAAACGGTCTCAAAAATGGACCATTATGCAAGATACGAAGTTAGGCATTCTGATACATGGTTCTTAACCAAAATTTCACGTAGAAAACGATTAGCTCAACGAAAATTACTGAAATTACTTCTAACAGAGATATTTAATGTTTCTTGACGCGTGAATTCAAACCTCCTGATCATGAAAAATAGATTGTCTACGTAAATCAAATAGCACACTTAACAGTTAATACCGTGGCAGTCTCTGCGATACAGAAATACGGAAACCTCAATCTTGACGCTTTGGCTCAACTACAGCAAATTGTTAACATTTCGAACAATAACGGGTGGGAAAGGAGCAATGCCTAATTGAGAAGCCTGCCAAAACCATTGGAAGGCGCGATTCGACTCATGCAGAGAATTGCGTTTCTTGGGACTGAGCAACTCTTTCCCGTGACCAATGTAAAATAAAAACGTTAATAGCTAAGTTATGAGTTGATTTCAGTAATTTTCGAAGATTCGTGTTCTACGTGAAATTCTGGTTAAGAAACATGTAGGTATCAGAATACTTAAATTAGTACCTTGTCTGTTGGTTTATTGCACTAACAGCCGCTGCCGTGCGTTGTGCCAAAGAAAATCAGAGCGCCTGCAATTGTTTGTGTATGCAACGCGGACATCCTGAGAACACGAATAGTTGCATCCAAACCCAGCCATTGAAAACGTCGGAGCGCCTTCAATATGTTCCGCGTGCGATGGCAAAATGTGTCGATCATGCATTCATACGTCGTCGTTGCACGAAGATAGGGTCGTTTGAGAATTTAATCAAATTGAAAAAAAAGAAAAAAAGTAAGTCAATTAATAATAATTATAAAAATCAAAAATGGAGACTATTCAATATTCATGCGGTAATTACTCGCCTGACTCTACCGGGAATTACGATCATAACCCTCTTATGCATCTCCTCATTTGATTTACTTGGGACTAAGTATGTAAACATCTTATCCTATTAATTACATACTGTCTCCTGTATATGATGGCAGCGATGCCAAATCGTTCAATTTGCGAGGCCGTTATCGGAGAACGGAGCGAAATTAGGACCTGTTGTGATCGTAGCAGTTTGCAAGGTGACAAGTTTTTTTGGATTTAAAAATGTTCTAACTTTTTAGGTATTTTGAGCATAAAAATCTCCGACTTTTGCCTGATTTTTAAGGGTTTGTTTGGCATGTTTTCTCATTAAAATTCCAATCACAAACAATTCTAACCGCAAAGAATCTTGAAAGTGAAAAAATGCAATATTTTGATTGGAGGAAAAAACTTTCCGCAGCAAAATTCCCTGACTTTATCAGGGTTGGGAAAAATTCCTTGACTTATTTATATCTAGAATATTGGAGCGCCAGCTCGAAAGCTAAAGACAGTCAGACCCTAGGTGGATAGCTAATAAGCCTGTGCCATTTTTGTAAACTACTTGCCATTTAGTTTAATATCTCTTTTAAAATTAAGTTATGATGACCTCACTCCGGGACTCAGTTTTCAAGGTATAAATCTGTGACGAAATTTTGCTCCAATAGGTACTAGTTTCACTTTAAAGCATTACCGAAGAAACACAGAGCCATCAAGGGTCGTTGTATTAAAACATTATTGCTATTGTATTTGGGTGTTGTGCACATTGCCTATTCACTAATTGAAGGGGCTCCTCTTATTGCAATTTATTGTAATACGACTGAAAAAATTAAAAAAAAATTTGCCTCAGAAATCGCCTATCTTTATCACACGTAGAATTCCTTGTATTGATCATTAAAAATACGGATTTGATCAAGTTATGTAAAAATATTTCAATTTCATGATAAAAAAATGCATTGTTTTTGCATTAAAATGCAAAACTATTTCTATGTTATGTCACATTGTGCTACTTGAGTTCAAGCAAAATCTAACAATTTAGAGTTAAATTAATCAATGTCAAACAATTTTGACTGTGTTTTCTAGACTGGAGAAGAAATGTAAAAGTCAAGGCTAAAGATATGAGATTTAGCCAACAATGATTCCGCAACAAGAATAAATCTCTTCATTTTGAGGTGTCTCTCAGCTTTTACGTGTTTAAAATTGGAGAAGATGTGTAGGATGGTACTGGTTAAAGCTTGTGCTGTTAGAAAAAAACAACACTGGGTATCAAAGTAAGAAACTAAACTGATGGGCAATTTTAAAACCATGGCAACAGAATTATTTTCTGATCCACTGGTCTCAATTATACTGCATCAATTCTTCTGTCAGACCTCTTTTGCTTTATTTTATTTCTATAAAGTTATCGTCCTGTTTGAGCTCGGAATGAAGTCATCAAGAACCCTGTGATTGTAAATACATTCAATTGTTTAACTCAATGTAAATAATGTTCATTACGCTGTAGTTATTTTATTACAAAATGTTTCAATTTTCAAATAAATGATTGAATTTTTAATACTGTGAATTAATTTACTCTGTATACCTTATTTTAGCTCAAGAAAACATTGGACAAGGTGCTGTAAGGTTTACCCGGAACAGGGGAAGATAGTTTGTTTCTAATTGTTGGCTATCAACTGTTCGTGGAGAGAGTACAAAAGGTGGTGGCTGGTTGAGAAATGTATATTTCTAAGCCACAACAATCGAACACAGATTTATTAGAAATCGTGATAAAGTTGGGTCATGTTGGCATACAATAGAGTCTACTCCTTGTTCAAGCCTCTCGGCTGACAGGCTGATGTGCATGTTGATGTCACTAGGTGGCTGCCTTGCCATTTTTTTCTACACTCTATTTGTGCTGTTTAGTAGGAATATATTGGTTTCAAACAGCATTTCACCTTATTGAGTTGTCTGGTAATATTATTTAACAATTCTCTATGAAATCTCACCTTTCGAAAGCCAGATCTCATGCTATCACTTGCTGGACAGAGCTTAAAACTGCCTAACAAGGCTACGTTGGATTTCTGAAAGACGTGAAAGGTGTTCGAGATAAGAGGGGTTGCTTCACAGAATCAGCTACAACAAATACAAAACTATAAATAGTTGTGAAACATTTTTTGAGTACTTGTGCTCTCTGTGATTCAGGACCTTGTGAAACTACTTTTTTTGTCATAAAATTCGAGAAATTAACCATTCACCCGAAATGACTTTAATTTTTGAAAGACGATACTTAGGAAAATGGAGACATGATTTTATGTACATATGATTTGTTATAAAAATTGGAGAAGAAAAAAAGTAATTTATTTATTATAAAAGTACAAAAAGTTGGGGTATTGTGACATGCCTACAAATATTCCTGACTGTTTATTGGAAGCTCTCAATTTAACTCATTAGAACCATGCCTAAAAACTAACTTTCAAAGGTGGTTGATAAGCAATTAGAGGCAGCTTTTTTAAAATATTTAGTGATCATGGATTTTGTAACTAAAAAATGAAAAAAATTATAAAAAATTTGTGGATACCTCTATGGATTAATCCCTTCTTATGATGTCAATCTGCAGGGGGAAAAACTGCCAGCTCATATGTGGTTTGAACTGGGAGACAATCCCAGGAATTACTTCAAAATAAATGACATTAAACATACATGACACATCTCCATTAATTGGAGAGTTCCTGTAAAAAAACTGAAAAGCGCACTTTTCAACCCTGCTTTTTTTGAAATTGGCACATAGAAATTTGGATTTCAAAAGCTCATAGTGCTCAGTAAGTCGAGAGGAACATCAAATTAAGTATTAAAAATGTAGCCGCTGCCAGATTTCTTGGTACTATATGCGTAATCTTTTGAATTGGTGCCATAAAAAAGAGCAGATTATTAGTAACCGCTTAAAAAAATGAAGAGAAACTCACCTAAATTGATACCCTATTTAAAGTAACTTATAAAAAAAGAATTCGATATTTACATTAAAATTAACAAAAAAGTCAGAACTAACTAAACATAAATACATAACATACAGGGACTAGAAAAATGAAATTCATCACTTAACAAGTATGGGAATCTGCAAATTCCTTTGAAATGAAAATATTTCATTACTTTCATCTTTCACAACACTGGATTTGGAGACGCAAAAAGGCAAACATAAGAATGAAGCCAAACATAAGAATGTTGTAGGAGACAACGAACTGCTCAAATAAGGGACATTACAGAGAGCGTGAGACAACACCTGACGAACCTGAGATATTCGGCTGGATGCAGAAGTTCTTGTTCTTGATAATTTTAGAAAAAGGTCCAACTTCACAACACATTTCAATGTTGTAGCTAAAGTAAAAATTTGTATTGAACAATCATCAACGTTTGTGGCTGGATCTGTAAATAGGGACATCATCCCCTGGAGGGAAATTTTCCTTAACTTTTTTCAAAAGCTGAAATCACTTTTTCTATGACCTGAGAGTTTTTGTAGCTCCAGGACTCATATCATCTCCAATTTTTAAGCATTCAAGGTCAAACTTGCGCAGAAATTTCCAGATTTTTTCCCTCCATGCATTTGCAAAAAGCTTAAAAATATTTTCCCAGAAAATAATGTCCCTTTTTACAGATCCAGTCAGATAGTTTGAAATTTAAACATTTTGTGGGCACACTAACATTCACAACATATTGAGCTGAAAAATAGGAAAGTAAGTATGATTATTAGGTAATTGTTTTCAATGCTTGAATTTCAAAAAAAAAAAATATAACGTAACAAAGCATTAAAACTAAATGCGAACAATATTTAAAGAGCGATCTTTTCATTTTGATTTCTTGCAAAGATCAAAAATTATGTTATTATTCTCTAACTCCTTGAGTTTGGAGCTTACATCTGAATCCTTCTTGTTTGATATCACAGTTGATGCGGACTCAGTTTTACTTTGAAAAGCTTGTTCGACATTATAGGAACCTGAAAAAATCAAAACACATAAATTAGGTGTTAGCTCATGATAGGAATGAAAGTTTTTTTTATGAATTTATTTATTTATGGAATACTTTACTGTCATTGAATGGCCTCTTGATGACTGAAGTGGAAAAATGCATATCTCATATTGAGACGTTGTAAGTCTCCTCTCGGATTTAATTTTTTGGTAGAAAACTAAACAACAGTTTCTACTAAAATTTTCAGTGAATTGTCTTGACTTATTTTAAAAAGAGCTCATATTGTTGCAAAACAAAATATTTCTTGATTTTCCTTGAGGAAAAAAAAAAAAACATAGGCAGAGATTTTAAATGTTGCAATTAAGATACGCAGTTTCTGCATTTAGTCATCGCTATTTTACATTTTCCCCCACAGAACAGAATGCATAAGAGCAGAGGAAAAAAGCATTAAGCTCATGGAAAGCCACCATAGTTTTTAAAATATGAAATTAATAATGATTTGGACAGAGTGTTGGTGATTTTACAAACGTCCATGTTAGTATACAACTTACATTCTCACTACAGAGGGAAAAAACTCATGAGAGTACGAATTTCCTCTCGGGAGAGTTATTCTGTTTGGTGCAACATCAGTTACGACCAATCAAGAGGGCTAGTGCGGATGCATTTTGGGCCTAATTAGACCTATCATGAGTGCAGCGCGGCTTTTCTTCTAAGCGCAGAGAAGTCTGGTAAACCAGTCCAAGTATTGGGCATGCGTCCATGGTGGCTCGTAAACTTGTGTCACTTAGTGAGTGAATTATCCAGACGGCTCGACTAAACCCTTGCAAGGTAATATTGTTACAAACTGGTTGCAGTTTGAGGCATACGTTGTTCAGACAAGAGTATTAATGATTTTGCCAACGTGCCTTCAATTTCAGAATAAAATGGACATTCTCACTATGGAGAAAAATTCTCAGTAGAGCACAAAATATCCCTCAAGAAAGTTAGTGTGCACCAAATAGCATAACTTTCTTGAGAGGAGATTCATATTCCCATGGGATTTTTCTCTCAATGATGAAAATGTCAGTTTTGCTTTGAAATTTAACGCATTTTGGCAAAACCATCTACACTCTGTCTAAATGACAATTTGGCTTGAACTGCAATCAGTTCATGGTAATTATGACTTAGATGATTTTACTTTTAATGTTTTAGATCTGCCCTAGTCAACACTTTTAACAGGCGAAAATAAAATGTATCATTTCAATTGCTATTTTGACATCGCTATTCATCTCAAGCTCTATTTTCCTTCCCCTCAGTAAATACTGGGTAACTTCTACTGACACGGTAGATTTTCAAAATAGCGGGGTAAGAACAAAGAAGAAAAACAGCAAGAGGATGTGGTAAAATGAAGTACCAGGAGTATACACATTACTTTAAAATATCAAACACTTACTTTTAAAAGAGGGCCATAGTAATTTTCTGACATGCTGGAATGGGAGATCGAACATGACAGTGAGCACCGTTGATGTTAAAAATATGAAACTGAATTCACCAAAATTAAACTGGAACAAAAAAGATCAACAATAAATAGAACAATGCATGGATAGATAACTTTAGTTAAAAGTAAGCTGAACCTAAAGATTATTAGCAAACAAGTCTGATTAACATAAGTCATGGCAAAATTCAAGTAGATGCTTTTCCGTGGTACAGCAGAAATCTGACTTATTCTTAATTTATTTAAAATTAATAAAATTCTCTAGATTAATGTTCCAGAGAGTTAGAAAACTCAAACTGTGTACATATCATAAATAAACTTAATTTTTAATGAAAATTGGAGGGATTTGCATTTTGCCTTTCTTTGCTCATGTGTTTTGTACAGTTAACTTGGGATTAAACTGCTGGGAATATTTTTTGGGCTTGAAATTTTCGAGCAATATGCCTATATAATTTGAGAGGTCATACTCAATTTTTTTAATAAATCCAATCTACTGTTGCTCAATAGAATTCAAACCATTTTGACTATTCACCCCTCTTGATTGGATCGTCACAAATGCATAAAATTGTCACCCTCTGGGGGCCAAAGTATCACAAGCGCCTTATACGCTTGGATGCTATGTTGCCGAACATCACATAATTGTTCTAATTTTTTATTTAAAACTTTTCCACCACTTTAATGGAAATTTCAGGGGTTCATTTTGATGACAAAAGAGGTTTTAGGTAAAATTTCAGAGTAATTCTAGTCATTACTTTTCCCTTAAAAAATTGGACAAAATTGAGGAGTTCGTCAACATAGAGCCTGTGTACCAATGGTGCTTGTGGTCGTTTCACCAGAAAGTGACGATATTAGACAAAAGAAAAGAAAAAGAAAGAAGAGAAAAAAATAATTTACCATCATCCATGGAGAATGCTCCATTGACGTCCTGACTCTACCGATATTGTAGAAGAAAATTGGGAACTGTGTTAAATAAATTGCATATGCAATCTGAGTGAACATTTTGAAACAAGGTAGTGATAAGAATGTTCCAAACCAACCTGAAAAGTGAAAAGAGCATTTAAAATAAAACACGAGCATTCAAAATCATCAAGGTAAAGATTAAGAATAAACAACATTTCATGAAACAAAGGTACATGGCAGCCAAAATAGTTAATATAACAGAATATGTACATCTAAAACACAAAAAAAAAAAAAAACGTGGTGAGGCAGTGCTAATGAGAAAAAAAAATCACAAAACATTTCGCTGACATTATCAATTGTTGAAAGATAAAAAATTTTTTTGTTTGTCGGGACGAAAAAGATGACATAGGTTAAAAGGCGGAGCGTGATTGGTCGGCTATGTCTTATCGCTGCTTTGTCGTGCTTATGTCGGGTTGAACTTACGACAAGCTAACGGCACCTCCTAAGTTTCCGACAGTATGTCGTCCATTCCACTCGACAAAGCACAAAAAAGCATCGATAAGACACAGCCTACCAATCACGCTCCGCCTTTTAACCTATGTCATCTATGTCTACCCGACGAACAAAAAATTTCAACAATCAGGCTACTGGTGGTACCCAATCCAAAAAAAAAAAATTATCTGTTTTGTCTTTATATTTTTCAGCAAATTACAGTTCCGGCATCAAATGTTAAAACATTTTGAGGTTTATTTTCTTTGTCAGCTTGGTCCCTGATATTACTTTTTGTGTTTAGTTCGTAAATTAAAAGAATAGAATTGTTACAGGTACACACATTAGAGTTGTTTTCACAGTGCCCTTTAGCATTCTGCAAAAGTTGATCTTCACAGTCCTTCATCCTCCCAAAGCCCTTCAAAGAATTGACACACCCTCATTTCATGTAAAACCCCCTGCCACCACCCTTCCAGTGGGCGTCAACTTCATCTCCTCAAGGAGATACCCAATTAAGCATGTTTTTGGCAGCCTTTCTTCTGCCATCCTCTTAACATGACCATACAAAACTACCTGTTTAGTCATGATGTCGAACTGGATGTAATTTTTGACTTCCATAATTTGACATAAATTATCATTAAGGACATAATCTCTTCTAAAAATTCCAGCTGACCTCCTCAAGAAATCTGTTTCTGTTTCTCTCTGCATATTCTGTGTCCCATTGCTTTAGCCGCCAGAAATTTTTATCAGTTTCATGCTCAAATAAAATCAATCAATTAGAATTCAAATCAATGATTTTTTAAGGTTTAGTTCACAAATCAATACACTTTTTTTGCTTTAGCTGCCAGAAATTTTTATCAGTTTCATGCTCATACAAAATCAATCAATTAGAATTAAAATCAATACTTTTTCATAGCTCAGTTCACACATTAATACATTTTTTCTGCCTTTTTTGATCAGGCATCATTAGGGATCATCAATGAGTGAGCATTAGTTGAGTAAATAAAAGTACATACAACATACCTGCATGATTGTGTTCAACCATGATAACACTCCAAACGAGGAAAAAGCCCCAAATAACAGGAGCAAAAGCTGTATAGAAAGCTGCTTCCATGGGGTCGTACTTGAAGTCCATGAATGACATTTTATAAGGACCGAGAAGAGCCCACAGTCCACTGATTATTGCAACAGTCCAGCCAAAGTAGAGGGTGGCCTTGACAAGAATATTTCAAAATTATTGATTTAACATATTTTCTTGATGACCTTTTATTTCTGAATTACGTTTGAAATTATGTAATAGCTTTTATCAAGTCTGATCGTTTCAGAAAATGCTGCAGAAAATGATGAGAAATGTATGTACCATTACCTGACAATAACTTTCCAAAAATAGGCCTCCTGAAACGTACCAAGAGTACAGTAATTTCAAAAAAGGAGCCTTTTTTTTTGGGAAATATTAACAAATTGTACATGTTCATTATGAATCATCACCATTATCGATGGCATGCATTATAACGGAAGATCAAGAGCATGCTTTTTAAATGGCTATTTGTTTTTAGGAAAAATGTTCCTAATTTCTGTTAAATTCAGTGTTTCAACAGTCCTTTGGTAGTCACTGTTTTTCGGTAGTCATTTAATTTTATTATTAAGTACATCAATTAAAATTGCTTTCTCCGGGTGAATTATCTTCCTTTTTTCATGCTGTGAAATCACTCATTATTTTAAATAACAAAACAAAATGCCAAAACTCAAGACAATAGAACCTATTTTCAATCATTCATCGAAAATCACTGAGCCTTTCATCAGTGAAAAAACAGATAAAATTTCATACTATGATACCATTGATTTCAAACAGGGTACATGTCAAAAACTCTATAGTGCAGGCTCATTTTAATGAGAAGTTTGGAGACATTTATTTAGTTTACTTACAAGAGCATCTAGCAGAACCTTACTCAGAAATTCACAGTCGCATCATAACTGTAGAGCAGTTTTTGTCTCTCCAGAAAAGACAGATCTTGGACATTTTCTCTTTCAAAAATGATTGATTCAAATATAATGCTCAGATTTGAATTGATATTATATTTTAAAATCCTTAAAAAGAAGAAAAAAGAAGAAGACATGAGCACATACTTACTTTAGAAATTTTCAACTGGTCTTTTTTATGGTGCAAGTAATATGCAGTCAAGGTCCCCATCAGATAAATTGTCAACCGATGAGTTGGTAGAATGTACGATAAATTAGCTACATCAAATAACTGTGACACCCTGTAACAATTTTACTTCATTTAGGGGAGGCAAACATAGACATCATGATAATGAGCATTTCTTTTCGGGCAAAACTGTAAATATTGAGCACAAATTGAAAATGAGAAATTTCAGACAAAAGACCACAAATACAGTTTTACTTATAAATAAATCTCCTCATTCAAATGTTATGGATTTTGACTTAACTCGTAAACGATGCAGAGGATATGCACTCAGGTACTAATAAATCCCAGATTCAAACCAAAATGATCACTCTGCGTTCTAGAAGCGAGGCATGGCTTAGAAAATATTTAAGGGTACACAAAAACCACAATTATTATCAAACATCATTAACATTATTTTAGGGCTAAAGTAAATGAATGGACATCTGAGATTGCAATGTTGTAGATTTCCACTTACAAGGGGAACTTACGGACCTGCCGCCTCCGATTGGGCTGAATTTTTTTTTAAAGACTCTATTGACCAATTCTAGAGGTCAATTTGAGCCGTTTTCCCGAATGCGCAATAGGAAGGGCATAAAAAATTCCCAAAAGTTGCGTTTTCGGCGTGTGATTTGGTCGTGCGGCGCGTGGCAACACTGAAGCAGCCTTTAGTACCGCTTTATCGGCCCGAAGGTTTCAGCGGAGTCCGGAGCCCTACTGCACACGTACTGGTTCCATGGTAGTGATGTCCCGGGTTCGATCCTCGACTTTTTATTTTCCGCATGATTACGTAACATTTTATTTTTAATTCTTCATCCGCATTTATAAATCAAGCAGTTCCGATCACCATCCCCCCCCCTCATTTTACGTACATTTTCCCCCGATATTTATTCACATTGGCCACGTATAATCGTATGAAACTTCATTGATATAAATTAATGAATTAAAAAGCAAAAGAAAACCTTATTTGTTACTACATTATCTTCCAATGTTTTCCTGGAAAAATATGTAATGTGTAAATAAATCGAAGAGCAACCCCAAACCCATGTGCATGCAAGGGTCACCAAGAAACACATTATTTTAGCCCTTTGCTTTTTAATTCATTAATTTATATCAATGAAGTTTCATACGATTATATGTGGCTAATGTGAATAAATATCGGGGGAAAATGTACGTAAAATGAGGGGGGGGGGATGGTGATCGGAACTGCTTGATTTATAAATGCGGATGAAGAATTAAAAATAAAATGTTACGTGATCATGCGGAAAATAAAAAGTCGAGGATCGAACCCGGGACATCACTATCATGGAACCAGTACGTGTGCAGTAGGGCTCCGGACTCCGCTGAAACCTCCAGGCCGATAAAGCGGTACTAGAGGCTGCTTCAGTGTTGCCACGCGCCGCACGACCAAATCACACGCCGAAAACGCAACTTTTGGGAATTTTTTACGCCCTTCCTATTGCGCATTCGGGAAAACGGCTCAAATTGACCTTTAGAATTGGTCCATAGAGTCTGTAAAAAAAATTCAGCCCAATCGGAGGCGGCAGGTCCGTAAGTTCCCCTTGTTAACCAAAAGGTCAAAGGTTTGAAGGGCAAACTAACCAACAATTCCTATTGAAATTTTTTGTGAATATTCTTTCACTACTCATTTTAAAAAAATTACACAAACCGCAAGGAAAAATTTGACTAGCGTTCCTCATAAACGTCACGTTTAAGAATCTCCAATCATGCTTTATTTTCTATACCTCACCTTCAAAAATGAGATATGTGTTTATAGCATTTAGCCATTGATATTCTAAGGAAATGTTGAAAGTGATACCTATTCCTATTATACACATATTTCATTTTGATTGAAAATTGAAAAAGAATACTTCCGGACTATAAAATTAAAAATAACCATTTCATTAACCCACCATCTATTGAACCATTATTTTGGAAGAATGACAAACACTTCAAAATTACTTTGAGCTCTTTAGATTTGTAGAGTCTTTTAATGAATTTACAGTATATTTTTTCTTCATTTCAATTAGCAAATAGAATAAGTTAAGAGGTAAAAACATTTAATTAAATATGTACATAATTATTGATGGTATCAAAGTAAACTTATTGCTGCATTCCATCTGGAAACATAACGTACCTCTGTGAAAAAAATTTGACTGCTTTAAGATGATTTATCTGAATTTTTGACAAAGTACCTACTTCAACAGCAAGTAAGAGCTACATAAAAGTTTACACTTATACTTACGAGATTCCAAAAACGATAACAACAGTCAAATTATTTTGGTAAGAGACATAAAATCTCAATGCTGTGGATAGGACTGCCATAACAATCGTGAAAGGAATTCCGAATCTAGGCCACCTCCACATGCAGTACACAAACAGCGGTGCAGCGATAAATAATTGCATGTCAATACCTAGTTGATGGGTATGAGTCAAGCACTGTTAACAGAAAAATATAAATATAAATTGATTACAAACTCATGAAAAATTTTGGAATGATGAAAATTTCATTTAAAAAAAGAGCGACACTATTATTTATCTATATTCCAAACTGCCTACGAACACTGAAAATATGAAAAAAGAGTGCAAACTTATGCAGATTGCGTGCTAAGGAGCAGATTCTGGATTTTCTTTAGTTGCTCATTGTAATTTTCCTGCAATTTTATCCAGGAAAAATGTATTAACTCGGCTGTATCTCTTGCATGCAACAAACCCTTTCAGTAAAATTCCGTAGAAGAGCAAAATAGCGATGAAAAGGTAACAATGGAAACATATCTAGGAGTGTTTCCTCTACCCCGAAAGCAAAACATTCCAAGGCACTCCTGCAAATAATTACATACAGTTTTTACAAGTACTTCCAATCATCATCATACTGCACAAAAAGAATTAAAGTGACATATACATATGCTGTCACTCCGCTTCAGCCTTTGATAACCAATCCACGAAAGTTACGAAGGCTCCTCATTACATAGATATCTATTGTACAGTTACGACACATTAATGTAAAAAGAATTAAGCATAAGATTTATCCAGAAAATGAGATTCTCTAATTGGGTAGTCTTGAATTTTACAAATCGTTGAGCTCTACACAAATTTCATTGGTGAAATTCAAAAGTTTCACTCTTGGCATTATTTTGTTTTTAGGTCTCACAGCTTTGGAAAGAATTTTACATATAAATAAGGATCTTATCAAAATTGCCTCTAGAATACACTCAATTAATACAGGAAGTCCTTAATTTATCAGATCGCAATTTAACGGAGCAATTCATTTGTCCCATGAAATCCGAGAAATTGAGGTCTTAATGTACAGGCATCCACTTTTAAAAAAGAATAGTTACTGTTGTGAAAATAAGAAACAAACCATATTTTCGAAACCAAAGTAATTATGTATGTACATGAGACTTCGCCAAGCATTATTTGTGCACAGATCGGCATGCCTAGACACCACCAGATTCCACATGGGCCCAGATCCAAGGGATGGAAGTATGTAAGTGCAAAATAAGATCACTACAAGTAGGTTTGGAGTGAATCTGGAAAGATAATAAAACAGCCAAAATTAGATTGATAGAATATTATTGGATAGTTCATTAGAGAGAGTAGGTGACAAGTTCTCCCATTAGGGTGCAAAAAATGTGTGATATCAAGGGTTGTGGTAAAGGTGAGACATGGTAAATGATTAAAGAAAATTTTCAAAACGAGATGACTTTTACGTACAGACGAAGGAAATTTTATCTTACATTGAATAAAAGTTGGGAATTTTGGCTGCAAGGAAAAAGAGCTGTATCACAGAAAGCAACTGGCATTTTAGAGTTTAGCATGCACCTGTGTTTTAGCCGAGCAACCAAAAATTTTGTTGAATAACAATTTCATATTTTGCAAAGTCACAAGCATGACTTTTGACAAGTGAAATAGATTGAGGATTGCTGTTTTTTCCACTAAAAACTACAGCTTTTTACTTTAATTTTACTTAAAATTATTTTTACATACATAAAGCCGCTTTTATACCGCAGCCTCACGCTCTGCAACGCCCAATCATCATTGCCCCCTATCCTCCCAGAGATCATCAGGCAATTGGCACCTTCTGATCTCCTCCACCCCTTGTCGCCAACCTTTCACAGGACGTCCACGCCGTCGCCTTCAGGGAGGAACCCAATGGAAAACCTGCTTGAGCAACCGATCGTCTGCCGTCCTTCGCACATGTCCATACCAGACCAACTGCTTGGACCTGATATCGTGCACAATGTCCTTCTCCACACCCATTATCTCGCGCACCTTTTCATTGCGGATACGCTCTCTTCTCGATATCCCAGCAGACTTCTGCCAAAAGTCCATCTCAGTTGCCCTAAGCATGTCTTCAGTTCTTTTCTTGAGTTGCCAGACCTCACTCCCATAAGTTACGATACTCTTAACGATGACATTGTAATTATTTTTACTTACTTTTATTTGCGATTGATTTGCACTGTTTAAAAATAGCTGATTTCTATTTTCCCAGTTTTGAGTTTTTTCTTTTGGTTGATAATGCTTATCAAGGTTAGGCACAACCATGAAATGGACCATGAGGTGCAATGGCATGTTTTGGGGTCACCTTAATCACTTGACCATTGCATATCGACGGTGAAACTACCAAACCACGTATCTCGTTTGCGGTGTTTAAAAATCTACGCTCACATTTTATTTTTTTGAAGTAGACCCAATCAATATCATTCCTTGAAATTTTCACAGAATTTTCTCCGCACAAAGAGGAAAAATCACAGAATTTTTCAAGACTGGATGTTAGGTAGTTTTTCATTTAAAAAATAAAGTATGACAGGAAGTCTGCGACGTCGCAAACCGAGATACGTGGTTTGGTAGTTTCACCGTCGATATATGTTTCTATGGTTACGCATCTCCACTTGGCTTCTTGTTCTCTTTGTTGTTATTTCCATTCCTTTTTTCCCCTTGTCCCTACAATCCCAAAATGAGTCTTTACACCAGTTCCAAATTACATTAACTCTTGAAAAGTACTATTAACAAAAATAAAAAAACTCAAAGTTGGAAAAATTGACATAATTAGTTTTTATAGAACCTAATTCAATTGTGCTGGGTAATTCACGAGTAAACAAGAAAGAAAAAACATGAGTGAGTCGTCCTTGCTTTTTTTCTTTTTCTTTGGAACAACTAAGCAAAAGACAAGACAGTTTAAAAAAACTAAACTTCATGCACATACATCAGCTCCCATGAAAGCTTAAGTTTTTAGTTCCAGGGCTTGCAAAGAAGTTTATTTTGTACAGATCGTATCTTTTCGCTCTGCCCAAACCATAATTGGCTGTGAAAAATTCTGCAGTTATACTATTTTAAGATCCAAGCAAGATCCCTGTTCATTTAAACAGAAATGCTATGGAGATATGTTTGTTTAGTGGACTTCAAGATTTTCATGAATAGGGAATCGGAAATGAATTTAACTTATGTCAATTCTTATTTGAGAAAATTGGGGCTCTGTTAAAATTCCAGTATCTTACTGAATGCTTTGAAGTTGAAATAATCTCCTTGAATGACTCAAATGCACTGTTTTCAACGTCATAAGGTGAAATTGATACATTTTTGTCTTGATGTAAAAAGGGCGAAAACGCCGTATGAACTTGTTTGGTCTGAAAAACATGGGAGAAATGACTTGCATTTCAGAAAATTTTTTAATAAAAAACAAACCTGCACCATCTATTGGCATAGATGTCTACTAAGTTCAGCTTGCTATTCTTGCTAAGTTGTTTTAAAAGGTTGGCTCCTGTTAAAATTCCACTAATGTAGATGAATACATCGGTGTAAATGATGGCAGTCCTTCCAATCACAGACCATGCTCCACTCATATTCTATCAGAAAGAGGGGAAAAAACAAAAACTCATAAAAATGCATACTATCAGAAATCGCCGATAAAAATGAGATGGCAAATCCCTCATAAGAATTGTCTTTCAGTCATTGATGAAATCAAAATATAAATTTTCTGATCATTCTAATCAAAAGTTCTGCTATGCAATTGAAGTTGCTATGATGCATTTTCAAGATAATTGCTTGCAAGACTTCGGCACAGTCTCCAATTGAGCATAAGGCAAAATCACTGTTGTTCCTCACTTTACCATCACTTCATGGATCATCTCGTTCCTTCTATGCAACAAGTAGTCTTATAGGGAATGGTTTCCGTCTGCCATATCCATTTTTTCCTCCTTTTGCCATCTGTTTCCTTCTCACTCTTGACGACCAGTTATTGCTTGCATCACATAAATAATTAATTCAGTTCCCCACATACCTTTCCATTTGCTTCTGCCACAGATGGATGAGTGGGACCTGATTTTTTATAATTTCCAACCACAGATATCTCAAAAATGGCACATGGGATGTCTCGGTCCCACAATGTCTGGTTTTACAACACATCTCAAAGAAGATATAAAATTCCTGATCTTATGGTGTTTATTAGCCCTTTAAAATTGTAATTTTAATGCTGATTTGTGAACTTCAAAGGAATAAAGAGTAAAAAGTAATGCTTGAGTCGCATTGTCTTGAAAAGAGGTCATTACAATTGCAAATCAGACATACCAATATTTCTTTCACTAATTAATAACAGAACTTGAATACTTACCGTAACCATCTGATTTCTGTTCACAAACGGTATGTAAAATAGGGCCATGGTTTTATGGGATAAAAGCAGAGCGATGGCAGCCAAAAATCGAGCGCCATGCAGGCACGGAATCTCTCCTGGTCCTGGTTTCATGTCACAAATAACATTTAAATTGCGACGCACAGAGAAAGCATACAGTAATTTGCCTGCCAGCCCCTTTTCTAAAGAACAATGAAAATGGTAAAGTAAGAGAAAACCACAAGAAATGTAGTCCGAGTGGTGCAAGTAATAAGATGGTAGAGCAATGCTGGATCCTTACTATTCTGAGGAAAAATCAAAGCTGGAAAATATTTCGTGGTTCTAAATCTAATGTCGTCTTTTTTTGGCTATAATTTCCTCTCAGAGTAGAAAAATAATTCAACCAATCAAGAGAAAACCGGAAAAAGAAAACCTCCCATAAACACCTGAATAAAATAATCTTTTGGACTAAAAAAACTTCCAGATGCTACGGAAAGTTGGTAGAAGTTTGTCTGAATCTTATTTTACATGAGCGTGCACAACATGAGGCAAGTTTGGTCCTAGTGAATAGAGAATGCTGAGTGAAATTGCTCTTTCATTTCAAAATGAAGCAAACTACGTGACACTGAAAAGAATTTGTCCTGAAACTTTAAAAAATAAATTTTAGAGAAGAATACTTATAAATAATAACCCCGAGGGGCACAAAATTACCATTCAACTTGGGAGTTTCTGTTTCCGATGCACTGGTCCTGTAATCCAGAATAGTTGCCACCATGCACAGGAAGAGGAAGAACAAGAAAAATAACCTGCAAGAGACATAATAAAAAGTAAAACATTCGCAGAAATTATATAACTTCATAACGATCATGTTGAAGGTCATTACAGGCCACTGAAGTTATTTTTTCCCCCAGAAATTTGGCTGTAAACATTGCAGCCTACCGATCATGCCGGCGACGGTTGTGACATTTTAAGCAGTAAAAGCTGAAAATGAAGCATAGTCCATCGACTTACTAACACAATTTTAACTGAGATAATTCGTTTCAAACACTCATTTTGCATAAGAATAGGTGAAATGAGAGATTTTTCATCATACATTTTAAAAATAAAGCATTCATGACTGAAATTAGACACTTTTCGTAGAAACGCGTGCTCGACACTTTTCTACTGCGTGAGCATTTACTTTGAATGAATTTACTTTACTTATTTTTCCTTGTTTTTCTGAAGTCTTTAATGCTCTAAGTGTTCTTCAATGTTTCTGACCATTTTTTCACGGCAATCCGTATTTTAGCCACAATAAACTTCAGTGAGACCGTTGAGACACCTTCAACAAGAATGAGAAAGAAAGCATCAAATGACAGGAATACGCAACGGTCCGGTCCGCTCCATGAACTTAGGTATTGCAATGTTTGTATATTGCCTGATAATGCGATGGAATGATTTAAAAGAGAAAAGCTGTTCGGACCGGGGAAGTTTACTTTTCAAAGCTTCAGATAGATTGTTGGAAAAGTAGAAGTACTAACTGATATTTAGGTAGGTATAAATACCCATCACTACAGATTTCACACACATTTATACTCTATCAGTGCAAACGTAAACAAGGATGGAATGGCGTTTTAAAGGTGCATCATTTTGAACTGGGTCACACAATTTAATGTTTCATTCAAAATTCTAATTTATAAGCCACTGCACGCAAGCTGCAACAATTTGTAAACAAAAATATAACCTTCTCAAGTCACACCACAGATGACCTGCGTGTAAATCGAGACTTCCTATTGGTTCCCGCCAATTCAGTGCCGCGCGCGGGAAAATATACAAATTGACGCGCCACTTTTCAAATCAGCGGGGACTACTCTAGTTACGCGCATACTGAAAATAGGCAATTTCGTTGTGGACGGTGTGATTTTTAAACGGCACAACTACTTAAATTTCGATAAGCTAAGTGCTCCATTCGTCGGAGTGCTATAAATTTCAATGCCCGAAGACCTTTTGGTTGACTTTATGATAAATGTTGAATCTCGCAACGTAAAAATATTCATAGTTGCCGAGATTATTTTATCACGAAAATTCGTCACTATGAAAGCTTGCCGCGACCATTCATTACAATAGTTCGTCGGTTGGCTGACCTAAAAGCATAACTATACACATTGAGATGAGCCCGGAAAATCATTAAGTTGTATGGATGACAGGGTTCATTGCAGATTGTAGTTACGCCCTTAGGTCAGGTAGGCGACGAATTATCTGTCGCGCAAAAGAGAGAGAGAAGAAAAACAGGGAATTTGTTTTCTATTCTTGCACGTTTCTTCCTATTGCGATTTCTAAGTATTAGCACTGTTTACTAATCAGAATACGGAGTATTCTGAGTAGTTATTATTGGTGCCGATCTGTGTGCGACGAATTTTCGGAGAGTCACATAGGTGAAGGGTCTAAAGGTATTTGTCCACAACATTTTTCTAAACCGTCAACCTCATCAAAAAGATATATTTGGACCATTTAGTAGAAAGGAACCAAACCACATTAGCTATTGCCAAATTTAGTCGGGCAATTTTGTACATGGAAACGGCTGTGCGGATTTTTGTGCAAATTTCAGTGAATTTTCTGCATAGTACAAATACCGTTAAATTCCCAAAGTAATTCTTACAAACGTTCAGGGCCGGATTAAGGGGGTGGCCACATGGGCCGCGGCCCATGGCGGAAAATCTAGGGGGCGGCAAATTTTGCAATTTTTTTAAATGTAGGTATAAAAAAAATCGGATTTAGAAAAAAATATTACAAACGAGAAAAGGCTACAGAATCTCTCATTTCCTGAGAGTATAGTAATTTCTAATTTTGTCGTCATCAGTGATACAAGAAACAGCAACTTTTATTAGTCGAGTTAAGAGAGAGACCAAACACACAATTTGGCCTGGAACGGCGTGCCATAGGGAGAAATGATGACGAGGAGTTGAGATGAAAAGGAGAAGCCCTCGGCGCGGCAATCGGCATACAACACATATTAGCGCCTACAAGACTGCACGAATACTTCAGGCATTGCACCAAACACAGTGTGGTTATTGTGGTCAGCGTGAAACGGATAGCGCCTACAAGAATGCATGAATACTTCACGCATTGCGCAAAACACAGTGCGGTCAGCGTGAAACGCATGGCGCCTACAAGACTGCGTGAATACTTCACGCATTGCGCCAAACACGGTGCGGTCTGCGTGGCGCGGCGGCGGAAGTTAAAATCATTAATCCACATTTACGTTTGTTCTTTCATAATTTTTTTGTTGATTTCTTATGAATGGAAGGCCTTGTCCACACAGAGATAGGTTTACGAGACTTAACTTTCGCGCAAAGTTCCGTGACCTTTTGCTAATAGTGTTGACAGGGCTTTCCCAAAAAATGTGTTCAACACAAGTAAACGCGTCTTATGCACCCCTCCCCCGCTGGCACGTTCATTTGATGGTTTTTATTGATGTTTCAAAACGAATGAGAAGGGGGCGGCAAAATACAGGCGCTCACGGGCGGCAAGTAGGTAAATCCGGCCCTGGTAGTACATAGCAAATACCTTTAAATGTCCAAAGTAATCCGCACGAACGTTAAAAAAAAAATTAAAAAAGCCCAGAAAATTAAAAAGTGCTCAGTTTTTGACAATAGCTGATGTGGCTTGGTTCCTTTCTGTTGAACGCGGTCCGTTTGATGGATGATCAAAGAAAAATGGCGCTACACTCACACGGCAGGAGAGGTGAGATGGACCGGAGGGATCTGGTGCTTCGATTGACACATATCATGTCGGACGACAACGTCCAAGGAGAAGTTGCCTGAGTGGAAGTCCCGCGTGGCTCGGTCGAGCACCTGCCGGATCCGTCGCTCGACGTCAGTGTGAGAGCAGCTCGTCGGAACGCACAGAGCCCAGTCGCTGCTCGAGAAGTGAGGAATACGGTGACCAGGCTAAAAACACACCAAAAAGCTTCCATTTTAATAGTGCACCGGAAAAAAAACACATTGGATCTAGAGTCCAGACTCTTGAAAACATTGAGAGGAAAAAATACTTTTGATTCAATGGGATTTTTGCTTGAATCAAAACGAAATCCGCTTAAATTAAGAGGCTTGGTTCATGATTTAAGCTATAGATTCTGATTAAATCAAGAAAACTTTTTCTTGTCGATGTTTTTAAGAGTCTGGACTCTAGATCCAATGTGTTTTTTTCCAGTGTACTGTGGATCTGTGTCTGTTAAAAATCCAACAAACATGAGCATGATTCACGGGGATAAAATACTTTATCATAAAATAATGGATTGCTGATCCAACTTGGCAACTCTGTAGCGCGCGGGAAAGATTTTGGGTGAACTTGCCAAATGCCGGAAAAATGCGTGTCTTGTGATAGGGAACAACGTATCCAACTCCCGGCAAAATCCACGGGGGGGAGGGGCGGCGGCAAAATCGCCTATTATTAAGTCTCTTGACGACAGAAATTCGATCTGAAAATTCGATAAAAATTTCAAGTAGCTGAAAACATGGAAATTATCGATGCGATATATCGCACGTCGTTCTAACACAAAATATATGGCGGTCATCGAAACACCTCGAACTAATTGTAAACCTCAAACTAGCTTTTAGACCCGTCTCCCCTCCGTCCCTACAACCAGTCCCAGGCAACCCTTGTTTGGGACCATCAAACTCGGGTCGCCTGGTCGGAAATTGAACCCCGAAACTCCCGATCATAGAGCTTTTCCAGACGAAGAAACGTAACTCCATTTCGCGGTTGCAAAATTGACTAAAACAATCCAGTTTTTTACAAGAATGTACCTTCGCAATTTTTGTCCAAAATTTTTCTGATTTTTGTATGCGATCTTAAAAAAAAATCAATGAAATTCTCAGTCTGAAATGTCCAAGATTCTCATTGTACCTAAAAGTATATTTTGAGAGGGGAGATTTGGCGACACTGAAATGCAGTTACGTTCTTTCGTATAGAGAACGATGAGTTTGGAGCAATCAACAGAAAATCTATACATCTTTATCACACAGAAGCTGAGGCTGCCTAGATATAAAAAATAATGAAATTCAACGAGCCACATCAGGTGCGCACAGGTTATGGAAATTAAATCGGTCTAGTGGCTAGTGCTTATTCATGTTTACCGTTCTAAAGCGAGACAGAATGTCTATCAATAGTGATTAGTGTGTTGCAATCTTGCACAGCTTAATCTCAGTCGAGACATGGCGTCTCTCAGGGTCTTTTTCACTGTCCTAAGTATATAAGTACAAAGCTTTTCAAAAGCTTCAACAATATCCTCTTGGGGTGCAAAGGCGGAAGGATCATTTTGAATGTATGGTTTTTCTTCAGACTTTGAATGTTCCTCATGAAAATCTTCCTGATACTATTCTTATAATCGATTATCATTTGGATTTATGGCTTGGTGTTCATGATCATGAAGTCAATGATGCGTCTGTCTTTGTACGGTGTTGAGACTATTGACGCTGCGTGCTCAACCGAAAACACTGTCTACATTCTATAAAATGTTGAGTATGGGGGGAATGGAACTCAAGAAATCAATTTGTAATTCTTACCTTACGAATTGTACTTTATTGTAGGCATTAAAGCCTGACCTAGCTCAAACTAACTTTACGTAACTTAACTTAGCCCCATCAACGGCCCGCGCAGAAAATGTATCTGCTTTTAAATGACTTATCGTGTAATTTTATTGCTTCGCACCATCGTGATCTTTGACATTATGACCACCATCAGTTTTGAGTTATCAATTTTAAGAGCTGCGTCCAAAATTATTTTTCATACTATGATCCTTGGTTTGTTGATACAATGGTTCTTAATCTGTTACCAATGGATTTAGTATTTGATTTTCTGAAAATTGCAAAAAAAAAAAAGATAACAAATATTCAAGAGAATTCAAAAATCCTCGTAATACTCAACCAAAAACTACGATTTGAGGGAGGAGAATCAGCCTGCTGCGTAAATTAAAAAACGATGGAGGATTACTGAAAATCATCATTTCAATAATTTAAAAGAAGATAGACGTCCGTTTTTATCAACAACGACAGATCTATCATTACGTATGATGTAAAAATCAATTGCAATTATTTTATTGCAAATTTATCGATCATTTTGCGGAGAAAGAATCGTCCATGTGTGCGATGTGCGTCATAGTTGATGAATTTCCTTCCCTTGAACTTCCTGTCCTAAGTTTTGCGGCCAAATGGGGACTATGCGAAAATTTATGTGAGCATTTTTGAATGTGGGCTGATGCCAACTTGGTTTCGTTAGATGCCTCTACCCTGTCCAAAAGTGGCCTCTGCGCAGAGCCAACTATGACATCACTTAGGTTGTTAATGGTCCCTCACGTGGAACAAGTATCAATTTCGAGCCCTCTCGAGATTTCCGACTCTTTTGGCACCTGTGCGCGTGTTTTATGAGCTGTGGACCCAAGGACACTTTTTATTTTTAACGTCATTCGAAAGCCTATACTCTCCTAATTAGATTCTCCATCCTCTGTGCAATTTTTCAGACGCAACCAGCATTGCATTTAGAGGAGGAGTGTGCAAATATCCTCCTAATAAAGACAAAAGTAAAACTAAATTAAAAAAAAAAAAAAAAAAAAAAAAAAAAAAAAAAAATACCTTAAATGCGACTGAAATGTGCTTTGTTGATTATTTTATCAATTTAATTATTTTCCTTCCCAGAATTTATGATTATAGAATTAATATTTTTTTAATTTTGCCATAAAAATGTTACCATAAATTGTTTTTCCTGTAAAATTTTTCTATCCCAACAAACTTTTATCATTTGCCGAAGCCATATATAGAAATCTTCCGGACCATTTTCAGGATCCGCCGGCAATGAAAGGTTTAAGTCTTTATAGATGAAGTCGCTGCTTTTCTAATAACTTTTCTCTTCTTTTTTACCGCATTACTATATTTCAATATCCGATTAGATCAATATCATAATGGTAAGTTTCAACCTGTACAATAACAAGTTCTGCAAGGGACCTCAATGCTAACAATAATTTTCTCTATTATAATCATTACTATAAGCTCTTTGGCTCCCTGATTATTTATTTTTTTGCCACAGTTCATTCTACCGTTCCATTAAACCGATATCCATGAAGTTTGCGGCTACTAACACACGATAGGAGCTCGTTCTATTCAGATTATGGAAATATAACTCAAGTTGTCCCCTAGAGCGTTATAAAGGTGTGGACTCTTCCATTGAAAACACGCGAATGCTCATTGTTGTTAAAGTTCGTTTGAAAGATCCTCACGATTTTCATGATTTTTGTTTCTATCGATAGTAAAACTAAAGCACGAAAGTGCGACTTTCAGTTTCATCTGTAGATTTTCTTCATTCTTGGACTGTACCTGCATTTAGAGTAAAAGTTGATTCTGTTCCTGGGCGATTAAACCAAAGAAATTTCTCAATTAATCGTTTAGGAGTTTATTTTGGACAATGTTCAGAAATTTGTGGGGTTAATCATAGATTTATACCTATTATCATTGCAGTTGTTCTAAACCAGAGGTTTTTAGTTGGGGGGGGGGAAGCCCGCTCTATTTAGATTAACTCATGGGGTGCTTGCGGAGGCGAACCTTAAACTAACGTCATTGATCGACTGCATGAAGTATCTCCAAACTGATCTTTAGATAAAATGATGAGACATGTGACAGGAGACTTGCAACTAAAAATTCTAACCCACCCTGCAAGCGAGAAAAGCTATCGAAAGCTTTGTATACTAACGCAACGTTATGTAACGGCACACGAAAAAATGCATAGTCCAGCGGTCGTTGATGCAATCTGCATCGCGTAGCGCGCGCACGAGCACATTGGTGCTCGCTCAGCGGCAACAATCGAAAGTTGTTGACCTTCTCAAGGCCACCCGCAAAGGTTACTGTTACACTTTCGGACCCGTTATGATTGCTGACCTCTCTACTCTCCGCTGTGAACTGGACAAAAATCGACTAATTCAGAAAGCGGTGTGATGCTAATAGCTTTGGAACAAGAACATGTGAATGGAGAATTTGCACACACAATTTTTTAAAACCTCTTTTTATAAAAAGTTATTTACTTCGATGCAATGGATGATACCGCCTTTTGTTCCCCTGGAAACTCATTTTCTCACTTAATGCTACGGGGGCAAAATATTGATCGTATCAAAAGTTGTAATGAATTTTTGACACGCACAATTGGCCCATGAATAAAAATACAATCATACTCACATCATCAAGATCGCTGTTCATGTAATAATATGAATGAAGCAACTGATCCATATGTTTCAAATTGTCTGGGAGTCTGTATTTGACAGCAGCCAGACAGTACTGGCCGCTGAATGAGTCATCATCGGCCTTGGCCATCACGCATTCGTCGAAATGGCCTAAATGATTCACATTGCCCTCCAAAAGTCCTGATGGAACTTTGGCCATCGAGTCTACCACTAAAAAAGTAAGAGAAATGGAAATTAGCCAGATTAAAGATAGGTACATATTTTATCTTACTTTTATCAAAGGTATACATTTTACGTGACAGATCCTAAATTGGGAAATTTTATACGTCTATTCCATTTAAAATCATGCAATTTAGACGGCAGCGTTGCTAGTTTTGCTCTGATCTTCCAAAAGACGTCCTTGAATTTTAGGCTCTTTGTCCGACAGTATATCGTCACCTTCCGGCCAAAGTATCACAAGCGCCACACGACGTTTCAAAATTTCCAACGTCATTTTAATTTTTTACAGAGAAATTTTTCGTTGAATCTGTTTGAAAATTTCACTGAATTTCATCGGCAGCACATAGAAAATTCAATGAAATTGTCGGGCAGCTTTATTGAGCAAATTCTTTGTAAAAAATTAAAATGACAGCGGATTTTTTGAAATGTCGCGTGGCGCATATGATACTTTGACCGGAAGGTGACAATATTTAAAAACCTCCGAGCAATCAAAGTTACCTCTCATTTTACCTCTCATTCTTATTGTAGTCGGTCGAGTGAAGAGCTGTGGAGGTCACAGCTATATACGACTTTATGATAAAATACGAACATTCATTAATACCAAAATCATTCACTGCGACATTCTGGAGATTTCGATGATCAATAAAATTTCTTCGGGCAATCAAATTTAGATGAACGCTTGGCACCTGCACAAAAATGCTGTACCAGAAGATGTGCATTCTGGGGTTTGAGAGCAAGGATGCCTTAATATCCTTTTAATAAGTAGAGTAGGGCTTAGAGGCGATTACGAAACAGAAACAGCAGACAAAAAATCTACCGGTAAGGTCGTCCACCAACTTTTTGCAGAGGTGAAATTAACATTCGTTCAGCAAAAGTATACCTACTTGTTCTTGTGAAAGAGTTGCAATTTTTCCTATTAAGACTTTCTGCCTTTAAACAACACTTTTGACTGTCAAATTTTCTCTTATCGAATCATACTTAATTTTACTCTATATTTTATGTTTACTTTATTTTTTTCGTTACATATCTCTTGCATCGGTTAGAATATATTTTTTTATTATGCAGTTCTGAATCGAAAAATACGATAGAATTCGATGGTTATTTCTATTTATTTGTTGACGATACCTCCGATAGCGATCTTGGTTTTTCTCCATCCAATTTTACGGAAGAAACACAGTCTATTCTAAATTTAAATTAAATTCTTCGGCCAAACTGAAATGCTTTTTTTAAAGCGACCCTGTCTCTGAATGCTGCCAGGAAGGAGGGTTTGGACCCCCATGACTGGATAATTTTTCCGATGTGTAATTTTTCGTGTTTTCAGGGGAGACTTTCGTGAGGGAGGATTTTCCATTTACCTAATTAGGTACTCTTCAAACAAGAAACAAAAAAAAAAGGAAAAAGAAAAAAAATCCGTCTGAAGGGTTGGGTGAATTTTTTTTCTTAAAATTTTTTTCAAAAACTCGAGAAAATGTTACAGTTTTTTGAATTATCAAAAATTCTCTTACGTAAAGCCAGAAAAAAGTCAAAGGAATCAAACAAAAGAGTTTTTGAAAATTCCGTAGATAAACTTGAATTTTTCCGATGAATCTTTTCAGTCCACCTTTGCAGCAATAAACACGGAAAAAATGGATTGCTGATTTAACAGTTAAATCGTTAAAAAATATGTCCGGCGTGTCCACATGTACATTTTACAATAGTGAAAAGCTAATTAGCAACTTTTCATTTTAAAATCTACATTGCAACATGCCTGACACTTATTTTAACTACAAAATTCTTAAATCGGCATTTTCACTATTTCCATGAATTTCACTTCGAGAATATGGGGATCAAGACGCTTTTTAGCGCTGATAATATGGGATGATCATTAGTATAGTGGCCTGGTTACACGCTCAAATTTCCGTCTAATTCAGATCAAAATGATGTCCAAGATGGCGGTCGAGAGTTATCTAAATTGATGAGTAAAATTAATTAAAACAGCGTGTTGATTGAAATAAGCATGAAATAAGCACGGTTGTGTGGGAATCAGATGAAGGATGAGCCCCACAGTTCCATCATCTACCATCAAATTTTTGCAGGCCGCAGAAATTTGATGGTAGATGGTGCGCATCAGTCAGCATTTGATCGGAAATTGATGGGAATTTGAACGTGTAACCAGCGCATGGGAAAAAAAGACTTACTTTTGAGGGCCCAAAGCTGGAAAAGTTGATAGTTGTAGAGGACGGAGCGGCTGTCGGCGGCGCATTTTTCGTCGCGGCTGTCGACCGGAAGGAAATCGATCGGTGACGGGAAATTGGCCACGAATCGGTGATATTCGGACGCGTTGGTTGCTCCCGCCAAGGGACTCGGGCCTCCGCTCGTGCCGCAGTTCGGCCTTAGGCACACTTCGTCTGCATCTCCAACCCTCGGCGTCTTTATAGAGTGGTTCTTCGTCGAAACACCTGAACACACAGAAATTTGTTAAAAACACAAACAAACACGGAGAGTAGTACGTCGTGCTAAGGAAGAACGCCATATATAGCCCTGGATAGACGATCAAATTCCGAACCAATTCCGATCAAAGTAGACATGCTGATGACTGATGGTCACCATCTACCATCAAATTTTGACGGGCCGCACTATTTTGTTCAAAGTAAGATCGGAATGGAGTGCCACCATTCGTCATTTCCTGTCTCAGGAAACATTTCTGCCAAGTTTTCATTTTAAAATTAAGCAAATCAATGAGTTTAAGACTGATGACTCCCGGCACTTTGATGGTACCTAATTGGTTCGGGAATTTGATCGTCTATCGAGACCTTATGAATCTTCAGGTGACCTGATGACCGAATATTCTGTGATTGGTGTTCCATTTTTTCACTTTTTATTAATCACAAGCTGGATAAAGGCTATTGGTTAGCCGATTTTTGACCAGATTCATTTAAATATTGGCAAAAATTTAAAAAAAGAAGGTTCAAGACAGAAGTCCTCTTCAGGTTTATTTAAAAAAAAAAAAAAAAAAAATAATACGAGGTAAAATTAAGGCAGAGCGATAGGTTCATTCTAGTAAAATTCGCCTGAACATACATTTTTGAACATTCCTGAATCTATTTTATTAATACATTGTCAATGTGATCATTTTTCGATGTTGATATAATTGTTTCGATAAAATTCGCACTGCTGTGTTCCCTTACTTATGCACGTGAAGACACTACTTGTGATATAAGTGCAGATTCAGCCGATTCACGTGTGCTTTTGAACAAGTCTTCGGTCGCATTAGGGAGCCCATGTCGATGGTTAAAGTGCAAAACCACGTATCTCAATCGCGATGTTTCAAAATCTCTGCTCCTGTTTTATTTTCCCAAAAAGTCAACTTTAAAGTTAGACATTTCCACGGGGTATTCTGCCACTTGAGAAGAAAAATTAAAAGAATTCTCAAGAAATTAAGTTGACTAGTTTTCCGTTGGAAAACTGAATTATGTCAGGGATTCTAGATCGTCGCAAACGGAGATTTATATGGTGTCGCACTTTGGCTATCGATATGGTGCTTCACACAGGCTCAATTAGGAATCGTGGAAAAATCCAGAGTGTTTGTCTAGCTCTGGCTTTATAAAAATATAAATTTATCATTTTACAGCGTGCAAGATACCAGAACACCTGTCGGATAAGGTCGAACCCAGTATTAATACAGATGACTACGCAAGAATTGCATGTTCGGCAATTTCCATCGACTATTTCCTTCGACAAAGGACAAAGGAACATGAGCCACAAGCTAATGTTCCGATTTGATCGGCGACGGTGTAACTGCTGATCGGTAGGCCGCAACAATCGCAACATGCCATTAAAATTCAACGTAACGACATTCTGAGATTTCATTCATAGCAGCGTCATCAGGGCTCACTGACGCCACGGACCAACCAGAGGCGAAGGTCACGCGAGCCTCTCATCTCGCACTGCGAGGAAGATGATGGAGAAGAAGAAGAAGAAGAAGAAGAAGAAGAAGATGAAGATGAAGAAGAAGATGAAATCGTGATCGGACACCAAATCAGACCCTAGTCATCAGGAGCAGCCCAGAAGAAATAAACAATCGAATGGAAGATTCGTCTCGTCAGCAATAATAAAACGATCCAGGCTAATACTGCCGTGCTAAGGAAGAACGCCGTATGAACCTTCAGGCGTTGCCAAATTTCTTTTCATAAAACGCGAATTTCCTGGTAAATTTATGAATATTTTCCTCCCAATTTTTCAGATAATTTAGCTCACAATTTTACCCGAAGATTCGGAAACTTTAAAGGAAAAATATTCATAACTTTCCTTAAAAAGAAACATTTTATCGAAGGAAATTTGGCAACTCTCGAATGTTCATACGGCGTTTTTCCTTAGCACGGCAGAATACTGCCGTGCTAAGGAAGAACGTCGGATGAATCTTGAGGCATCGCCAAATTTCCTTCGATGATATATGCAATTTATTGGAGTAAATAAATTTCTTCCAAATTCTTAGAAAATTTGGTTCACAATTGAATTAAAAATATCTAAAAGTCGGGGAATGTATGCGTAATTTTCCTCAAAAATAATATTTTATCCGGGAGTATTTGGCAACTCCTGAATTTTCATACGACGTTCTTCCTCAACACGGCAGGATAGGAGTTGAGGAATCGTGATTTTCAGTGCCTCACGGAGGAGAGCTTTTCTGCTTTCCGCATCTATAGTGTAAGATCTTAATCGCCTCAAATTGTACGTATCATTGTGGCTTCAAATGAAGCGAAGAAGACGTAAAATTAAGTTTCATTTTATTATGTCATGCAATCAGCGAGTGGGTAAACTATTTTTTGGTGGTTAAATTATTTTCCTTGTATTCAGAGGAAAACGTTCTCACTAATCGCAGATTACACCCCAGACAAAAAGCAAAAACACGAGTTCAAACAAAAGATTCAAGAATGGAAGTGATTAAGTAAGTAATGATACTAAGGTACGCTTATTTTAAAGCAGTGTCTTCACAGAGAGGCTCCAGGGATTTGCTGCTTGGAAAACAGCGGCTCTCTGGAGGACAGCTTTTCATGATTTGCAATGTCTGAATTGATAAAGGACATTTTGTGGGATATGTTCTAAAAAAATAAATATTCTTTAGCCAAAAAATCAACAGTCTCTTTGACTCAGGCGAAGGCACACAAAACGCCCATGATAAGGCAACTTTATGATTGCCCCGCGGCTCACAAGGTGCAGACATCAAGAGAGCCCATGCGACAAAAGGAAGTGGTGGAACGTAGATGAGTTACTATCGTATGTATTGGGATACAACTATTCGTGCCCCCGGGCTGTCAATATTGCATAACACCAAAAATGAAGGCACCTCGGTTGTTTTTGTTTTTACAGGAATGCGCAGGAATGCTGCGGCGCACTAGCGAAATATTGCACATTGAAAAACACTCCTCTCTAGAATTGATCGAGATCGACAGTTTTGTGCTATTGTCCAATAACAGGTTACATTAAGCTTTCAAATTTATGTGAATTTTTTTCTATAAACTATCGTGACATCAACTTCGTGAAAATTCATATTGGAAACAAAAATGACGGACTAAATTGTGCAATTAGAAACTACAATATTTGGCTTATTTAGAAATAACTTAAGTATCGTTAGTTTCCTTATTCAAATAGTTGCTTTTGCGAGTAAGTTCTTAATTGCAAAATTCTGTCCAAACGTGCAAGAGTTGCTCTCTCTTCCATAAGTTAATGAGTGACGTCCATAGGAACAGATGGGGAAGGGGAAGGATTGAATTCTAATGGTGATAAAAAATCACCATTAGTAAAATGGTATTCTAATGCAAATCCATTCTTTGCCGAACAAACGGTCCCAAATGAAGAAGGAACGAAAAATGTAGAGGGAACGCACTTTTAGAGAATGCTCCGACGAGTTAGCCATTATTCTAAGCGTGCACATCGGTGAAAGTCTCAAAACACATTCATGAAGTTCTCTTTTCCGCTAAACTTTGGCGGTACATTCGTGGATATGCATAAATTTTGCTAAATAGGTTAGGCACCGGTGCTTGTCACTTGAGAGGCAAGTAAGATATGCCACCGTCTCTATAAACAAGTACCAACGTTTCACGTGTTGCCATTTTTTGGCCCATCCTGTAATTGAATTTCCTCTACTCTACATATGATTTTTTTTCTCATTGATCGTCTGAATTTTAGGGAGTGCATAATAATTTTGGCATTTTCGGTCTCTTCTCGGATCTATCACTTACCCGGACCGACACCCTTTCTTTCGTTGAAATTGGTGATTGACGAATAATGTTTGAGCATTTATAATCCTGCTAGGATTTTTCAACAACGAATAAACTTATTTCAAACCACTATGACTTTAACTCTCAAAAACTTAATCAAGATTTTACTCTCGAATATTATTAATAAATTATCATGGTTAAATTTCAATGGTTATTGTATAGTTATCATCATTAGGTAATTTTAAGGGTGGGCTGCCTTTAGGGGAAAAATAGATATTTTCCTTAAAAACAATATTGTGGTGCGTTAACAGGAACAACATAATTTCAAACAAGATGAAAGAATATTTGAAGTAACGTTATCAGTTGTGCAAGTTTTAATTGCACTTATCATCGAATGAACACACGGAGAAAGTTCAAGATAAGGACGCGAGGCCGGTCAAAGATAGTCACAATCCTGTTTATTGAAATGTCATAAAAAATAAAGGCATGCTGTATCAGGAAGTGATTAATATGTAGTAAACTTATACATTTTTTAGAGAAAATCTCCTCCATAATCTGGTATACTTTCCGTGGGGAGACGAAACTCTACGTAGAGACAACATTTTCTAAACATCGATTTTTGCCAAGTTGGATCGAGGAATCGGAAGTTGAGTTTCCAATGCAAAAAAACTTCCAGAATTCTCAGAAAAAAAGTCATGATAAGTAAAGTTCATTCTTGTTTTAGACAAAGGAGTAACTTGACACTACAGTGTATTTTTAAGCTTCGATTGAAGCTTCAAGATTGAAAAGTTTAAATAGCCTTATCTCTACAAAACTACATTATTTAAACTATATATTTCAAATTTTCACATTTTGGCTTGGTTTGACATTAGTTTGGATGTTTTTTTGTTTCAAAATGTGCCTAAAACACTCCTATGGTAGGTACCGAGACTTGAATTTTTAGTTTTTTGTTGAATAAATTATTTTTCCCTCGTCGAAGTCTCATAAAGCGACTAAGAAACTGCAAAAAATCGTATTTCGGTCGTATTTTTTAAAAAATATTTGCCCTCATTTTAATTTATCTAACGAGAACCAACCAACACTGCCGTTTATAATTTTTAAAGAATATTCTTTACGCACAGAGGAAAAATTAGGGCCAAAGTAAGTCTATAAGTTGTAAACTGAAATAATTTTGTGCAGTTTCAACGTCGACATACCAGTGCGCTTAATTGGAATTAAAAACGACAACACAAACGAAAGACTGAAATATTTTTATCCTTTGACTGTTTGCTGAAATGAGCTCACTGCGAACAGCCAGAAAGATGACGAGGTACCAGGTATCTGTCCCCTCGCCTAAACCGCGTAAAACGAATTGATCAACAAGTAGTCACCGTTCACAGGCATGTCAGAGATGCTGGTCAATAGCCATTTTCTTCTCAACATTACTCAAGAAGCACTGAACGGCTTAATTGCCCATTACGTTTACGTTTACCGTCCATGTGGACGTTTATAATTCTGATAAAGCAGTAGCGTCGCTCGCGTATTCGCGTATACCATAAAACGTATACTATTTATCTCATCGAATCGTTGGTGCTCAGACAAAAGAACGTATCCTATTTATAATTTAATAAAACTATTATTTATAATTTTTGCTTAGAATGCGTTTTTCCGCTCGGAAACCGCTAGAAAGTTTTTACTGTTGATTTCACTAAATGGGCTGCGTTTTTTTTAAATAAGGAACTACAATTTTTGGCTTATACATAAAAAAACGAGCCAAATGGCACAATTATTGTTTCTATAATGAGCCTAAAATTTTAATTTTAATTGCAAATGTGGTCCAATTACTCTCGCAAATTCTAGGCAAAATTTAGAACAAAAATTTTGCGATAATTTTCAGTGTGGAACAAATAATTATGAGATTATATTTTGCAACATTGGAATAGGGTATAGTTCTGTCACCCGGGAAATGACGAGATGTAACGAAAAAGTTCGTCGTGCATACCAATGAGAATACGATTTTTACTATGAAATCACACAAATAACCTGCAGTTCAAAGTTTTCGGAGCGGATGTGCCAAACAAATGTGGTATAAAAACTTAGGAAGCTTAGTAACAAGATTTCCAGGAAAAAATTATTAGAACCGGTGGCGATTTCAAGAAGTGTCATGGGCTAGTGTTTAGTTCCCTTTCAGCTCTGAGGAGCCAAAAAGCTCTTCGCTCTTTGCTAACCCATAATACCTAATAACGTAGTAAAATTTTTATTTAGTTCGTTTCAATTGCTTTCCAAAGTTTGAATGATGAAAGTACTCACTGAGATATTTAGTGACGACTCGATCGTCGATCTCCTCGAAAGCGGAGCCGAGGGCTAGAAGCGCGGAAAAGCACACTAGGACCCGCCATGCGCACGGCCGAAAACACGCGCTGGACATAATGATCGAGCGAGCATGCGATCAGCTGATCACGACATCATTGAACTGACTGGACTGATCGCGCCGCGGCGAACACGGCGCGGCGTCGCGACGGCCAGTCGCGCGTCGGTTCCCGCGGTTCCACGCGACCTCTAAATCGCCAAGGACCCACCGGTTGCATCTCCAGATCCCACTTTACTACCGCACCTGTTGTCCACAGAGGGTATCGCTCCGTCAGCGCCGTCCAGGAACGCAGCTGCGCGCCAATTTTTGAAATTGATAGAGAAAGCTTTAGACAATGAAGTCAAGAAGGAGTATGGAGCGATCCTATTGGTTGAAACGGGTGGTTCTTATAGACTAAGAGGGTTATCCAAGCAGCAGAGGTTGCAACAAAATCGTTTGATTCTTGCAACTAATAGATTGATGTGCATATTGCCTACTATCTCCCCGAAGGAGCTATCATTGTCGGAACTAGTTGCAATTAAGTTGAAACATATTTCAACTTCAAAGTATTGCTGGTTGCCTATCTTTAGATTTTAAACAACTTTGGTGCAGCAATTTTGCAATCTCAGCAGGTTGCAACTTTGTCTTCCGATCAGATCGCCGAAAATCGGCACTTATCGACCAAAAGTTGACCGAAAGTTGCAACTTTGTTGCAACAAATACCACCATTGTTTCAACTTGTTGCAACTTTTACATTGAAAAATGCTACTTGGGTAATAATGGACTAACTATATAGGCGTCTCCCGTGGGTTGTCGTCAGTTAGTCTATTACCAACCACCTGCGTCCTCCGATATGATCCCTCCATATCCCTCTTGTCTTCTTTGTCTATCAATTTCAACAATCAGCCTGCAGACTCCTTCCTCCTCAGGGGCTGAGGAAAAGGAAAGAGTGAGTTCAAGGGGTCTGAATGTTTTCTTTAGTAATGTAAATTGTTCAATATCACAAGGTTCCTTCACTGCTGCCAAAGATTTACATCAAGTGGATATGGTGGGAACCTGTTGGTGGTAGGGGGTGGTTGCAATGGACAAAGGAGGTAAGTAATGGACGAACCAACGGCAACCAACAAGAGACCTGCGACAGTTAGTCCATCATTTTCCCCCATAGTCTGTAAGAACCACCAGTTGCAACCAATAGGATTGCTCCATACTCCCCATGTTATCTTTGTCTACAGCTTTGTCTATCAATTTCAATAACCATTCCGCAGGTGATTCACAAATACGGTGAATTACGGATTTCTCCAGGGAAGTAGCTATTAATAGAAGTTCCTTAAACTGCTTCTATCTTTATGTTAACAATGCCACCCTTATGTTAACATCATAGCCTTTATGGAGCATATAAAAACGAAAAAACGGCAAAAACGATTCAAAATGTCAGAAATGAAGTCTCATTCCATCGTTTTCCTCGAGAAAGGACGTAACTACATTTCAATGTTGCCAAATTTCTCCTCGCAAATTGAATTTTTACCAGGAGAATTATGGTTTTTGAAACTGAAAATTTCATCGAATTTTCTTTTGTCTTGTGTGAAAATCAGACAAACTTCTAAAAATAATTTCACAGGTATATTCTTGTAAACAATTTTAGTGAATTCGCAATCTTGGAATGAAGTTATGTTCCTTCGTTCGGGATATGACTATTTGTTTCATTCATCAAAAACTTTGCTCAAACCACATGATTACCATCGAAAACTTCTTTTCAACGCAGAAGAGCCACTTTACCTCTAGCGTCGGAATGAGACATGGGAGTCATCGTGACGGACCTGTGGCAGAGTTTGAAATCTTTTCAGGGAAAATATTTGGGCAGTTAATTTATTATTTTAATACGCGTATGACAGATAAAACATAAGTTTGAGGGAAACTTGCTATTTTGAGACGAAGCAGAAAGCAGCAGGCAATGCCCGAGACAACTAGTTGCTAACCTTCACCTACACTCGGATCGCGGTGGGCCCTGAGCCAGGTGTGGCGGAGGGGGAGGGGGAGAGGGGGGGCGATAATCACAGAATGCCGGTTTAATAAAGTGTGCCTCGAAGCTCTGCTGAATCTGTACTTACTAGCTCCATTGACCGATTCTGCTGCCTCCATTCAATGATACACAGAAGTTAGTCACTGCAGAGGAACAAGAGGAAAAAGAAGGAGAAGGGAAAGAAGATGAAGTAAAAAAAGAGGAGAAAGAGGAAAAAAGAAACAGAAGATATAAGTAATCCTTATTTAATTCTTGTTGAGCACAGAAATGCAAGAACAATATAATACCTGATGCTAAACTTAGGTATGTGACGTTCAAAAGGCATTTCGTTACGTGTAATTTACTGCATCACTCTCATAGCATGGAAAATTTGTTACATCAAGAATCTCAGGAGAAAGCAGTGATGACAGATAACACCCATCAAAAGTGTTGGGATGATAATCATTATATAAAAAAGCTACTCATTTTTCTGTGCATTCATCGATCCATCGTTTTATCAATGCCTTAATAAAATCGATGATGCAATGATACGTGCTCAGTCAACAAAGTCTTTGAAATTTAAAAACAGGAATTTTTAAAATTACAAATCTCACTGTTTGAATTAATACAGCATGTATAATTCGTGTCAATCGTTTTTTTTTTCCTCCGAACGTTAAGCACATAATAATGACAAGAATTGGATTAACTGAGCAAAAAAATTTCATTCCGCTTGTTCACCGCACTTTCCATTATCATCTCAAAACGTGTCCCATTAATTTTCTTTTCATACACACGCATTTTAGGTTGAGGTTAAATAGGAAATGAAAAACTAAATTGTCGGCAAACATGCGTTTTCAAATTGCTTCTACACTGATTTTAAAAAGAAGAATAGGACGTGTTTATGCTAAATGGAACTAAGTGCAAGTGGAAAGATGGGGTTTGCTCGTTAGTGGTCGGGCCATAAGAATGAATGTGCCTTAAAGAGGGTCAGTGACGTCAGCGGCAACGACGAGAGAAACGACGTTCGGGAAGGCGGTCTTTAACTCATGAGCCCTGTCCACAAGGCTCTAGACACATGCCCACGGCTCACGAGTTAGAACTCAGTTCCTTTTAATTTAATTGAAAATTCCGCTTTTCCATTTTCTCAAAAGGAACTCACTGCTAAAAATGGTGAGTACAAATGAGTAGAAAATCAAAGTCATATGAATAGAATTTCGACTCATATGGATAGAATTTCAACTTACATGAATAGAATTTAACTCATATGAGCAGAATTTCTCTATTCACTTTTTGCCGACTCATATGACTAGAGATTCCAACTCATGAGACTAGAGATTTCAACTAGATCTTTCATGAGTTCAGCGTTGAAACTACCATGTCCGATATCTCAGAAACTAGTCGCTGCATCAAAAACATTTTAAGGACAAAATGTTCTTAATTTTCAAATTTACATATTATTTCAGTGTCTCCTGGTCAAAAACAGCACTTCTGAAAAATGAAAAAATTGAATTCATTTGAGTTGAACTTTTCTACTCTTACGAGTAGAATATTCTAGTGATATGAGTTGGATTACTACTCATGAAGTAGAAAGTTCTACTCATGTGAGTCGGCGAATTCTGAATAGCCCATTCGTCATTTTTAGCAGGGCCAATATCCACTTTTACGTTGTTTCTTATGCAGCTTCCACGAGCACACCCCCATCTTTCCACTTAAATACAGATCCTTCTAGCATAAATGCGTCCAATTGAGTAGGTACCTCTCGTATTTTTGGCGTTTTGCTGTACATGAGTTGACAATTTTTTCGCGTAACTTTCAGAGCGCTTTCTAAATTACAAAACGACCGCGTGACCGACACAATCGCAACGGAGAGAAGCGGAGCAACGGTTCGTAATTTATGAAAATGGATTCACACTTTAATGTCGCCATTTGTCTCCTTTTGTCAGCTTCTTCCGGTCATTTACAACAGCTAATCATTGCTTAATCCCCCGCCTCGCGGTCGGGTCACGCCGAATCAATTTGGCTCCGGGATCGAGCCTTTAAGTTTCGCCGATCAACGCATTTCGATTGCTGACCTAGAGCCGTCCAAAGCTAATTTAAACCCGAACTTTCAGCGGAATTATACTGGATTAAACCAGTCTTCACTGTAGTTCTGAGCTGTATGAATGAGGAAAGGTAAAGACGTGTAGAAGAACGAAAACGGGCGTGAATGTCGGAATGCTTTCATTACAAAAATAGACTTAATCATTAGGTTAAGTGCTATAAGTTATTAATTTTAAAACATTTGTAATTGACGCCCCCGTAAGGGGTGGTTGTACATTTTTATGAAGCTAATAAAAAAAAAACAAAACAAAAAAAAAACTTTGTATTGTGGAACTACTATTTCTGGCTCATTTTAAAAATCACCCGTATCCATGGGGAACCTAAAGGCATGTGCCCTGCCTCTAAAATGAGCTAAAAGTCGTAGTTCCTTGTCGTCAAATTTGGTTTAACTGACGGAATATTGAACGCGAGAATAACTGTACAGTGAAACCTAGATAGAGGAACTATTAAGGGGCTTGAGGACAAGGCGCATAAGTGCAGTGTTTGCTATTTTGAGAATAGTTTCGAAATTGCATGAAACCTCATGGCGGAAAGAAAGTTCAAACCTACTTTTTGATGCTTAAAAATTAGAATTCGGGAGCGAATTTTTCACGGAATGTGCATTAAGACTATAGTTTTACTCGAGATTATTAATGACTCAATTTTTTCAAAAAGTGCGCTTGTGCGCCTTGCATTCCAAACCTCTCAATTGGACGTACTTCTATCAAACGGAACTAAGCGCCAATTTGAGTTCCTTTTAAGGAATTTAGAATCCCGGATAGCCCGTTCTGTCAAGTGGACCTAAGCGCCATGGAAAAAGCATTGTGAGTATAGGACGGAATAAGCCGGACGCCCGATTCCGCCGCCGATCCAAGCCCCCCTCTACCTTCCTCACCCTATGGCACTTAGGTCCGTTCGATAGAAATGCGTCCAATTGGACTGCATTTTGCAATGAACTGCTATTTTTTATTAAATGTCTCGTATGAGCAACATTTTTGTAACAACAAAGTGTGTGTCAGCGGTACTCAAATGCAAATATAGTATAGGTACATTCATGGATGATTTAGGAATACTTAGTAACTCTTCACTGGACCTTTTCTGATAGGGAACTGCTATTTCTAGCCCATTCTAGAAACAGCGTAAGTGCCATTCCTTTCTTTTTTGCAGATAGATGCTTTCACAGACGAACCGAAAATAGTGGTTGGCGTTACCTAACCATCTTGCACCCCACACTTGCCGATTTAGGGCTGGCAATGAGACACAAATTGGGGAATGTTGCGGTTTTTTTGATTTGTGAAGAGAATTTTAGAGCGTTTGGCAACATGGTATTTGTTTTTAAAACCATTAAACGATTAACATTGACATTTACGAGAAAACTCTTCAGTCTTACTTTCAGTGTTGCTATTTTTGTTGAAAAATTGTCTATTTTACACCGACTCAATACTTGACAGTGTTACGTTTTGGGTAGAGATTATATCCCCTGATAAAAACGGTCGATCATTGATCATGTTATCAACTACGTAAATGCATGCTGTAAATTATGATATAAGCTCATCAATGAATGAAAAACTAAATTTGTGTTGGTTACCTCGTCTGTATCATTGTTAAAACAAAAGTAAGAAGATCTATGATGTGCAAAAATGTGGTGGATGATGTGCATTTTCAGAGGTATGGGTGATATATTCGTTGGTATTAAACTTAGAAACGTTCTGAGTTGGGAAAATTTTATCCTACTGTCTGCAAAAGTATACAATATACCTTCTATGACGCAGTGTTACTTATTTTTACGTATTATTACTTGATAACATTGACAAGAAAAAATACTCTTGATTCAATGAGATTTTTCCTCGAATCAAAGAGCCGACCCTCTTGATTTAAGCGGGTATCCCTTTGATTCAAGCAAAACTCCTATTGAATCATATTTTTTCTTGTCAAAGTTTTTAAAAATCCGGACTCTAGATTCAAACGACTTTTTTTCTAGTGTATGTATATATAAAACTAAGAAATGTACGTTTTCTGTGCGTTTCCAGCGCCAAAATTTGATGCAAATAATTACATAAACTTAAAACTTTTTGGAAAAACCGATCAATATCACTTACTTTCTTATTCTCTATGCACTATGGCCATTTAGAGCGGGCAGGCCGCCCATCTTCAGGTGACTGCATTAGTGTGGAAAAGTGTGATATTAATCGGTTTTTCCAAAAAGTTTTAAGTTTATGTAATTATTTGTGTATAGTGCCGATAAAATTTTACAAACCGTGCAATGTGCAAAAACATAGTGAAAATTTGATGCCTTTTTAATGCTAAATCGTGCAACGTTGCCCGACGGAGTCTTTCCGAGTCGATAAAAACACGGTGCGATAAGGCGGATGGTAAACGGTGGGCAGCTCGACTAACTTATGAAAGAGGGAAGCGCGGGTTTAGTGCCAAAATTCGGGTCTAAATATAAAGAATCCACCCGGAATGCCCGGTGGGGACCGCGAAAACGTATTTGTATGAACACATTTTTTGAGTCAATTGATTCCATCAGGTCTCCGTGAGCCGTGAGCATGCCGTATTAGTTCGCGCTTTTTGGTCTGCCAAAATGAATAATACCGGGATAAAACGCGATATCTTAGATTAAGCTCTAACTTGACTCCATTTCTCTTCGGGTCAGGTCATCGTTAGTCAGCAAAATTTTTCGAGTAATGAAATTTTACGCACGGGAATCCTCGGTAATAATACTCGTTGACCTAATTTTGGAATGTAATCAAATTCAATAATCATCCTGATAGCTAAGGATTCCCATCTTTTGTTTCCGAAGAGGAAAAACATTAATTTTTTTATCCCGAAAATAAGATTAAATAGCAATAGTGCGCTAACAGTTATATACCTACATCTTCATTTTTTTTTTTTTTTTTTTTTTTTTTTTTTTTTTTTTTTTTTTTTTTTTTAATATTCGGAATTTCCAAAACATCCGATAATTTTGAAAGTCTCAAAATTTGAATTCGATCGAGCGGAGAAATGAACTTAAAGTAATTATTTAATTGCATATGTGCGAAGCTGCGAGCATTATTTCTTATTTCTTGCGCCTTATAAGTTTTTTATGGGTATATTTTTAAGATTTCAGTGCCAACTGCTCAGCCATCGAATCTCAAATTTTGCCATTGTGCAATATGGAATGATTGTGCGTGAATAAAACTGAGATCCGCAATTTTTATGGTGGTTTTTTATGGTTATTGGTTATGTTTCGGTGCAAGATTGTTTCAGAGCGAGAATCGGGACGTATTTCCTCAATGAGCCGCGTAACTTCAGATTGCAAATCGGTGAAAGTTAATTAATGGAACCTTGCTCTAAATCCGGGATTTTTGTGAATCGTGTGAATTTACTATCGGATGAGTGAAAATAAACCTGGCTGATAAAATGTGTCGCATTGCGAATGTGTTTTTATTTGTGAACCTATTCATTTTAGAACAGAAACTGCTAGGAGTATTAGGAGATCCCCTAACGGATTATTTCAAAGCTCAAATGGAATCATCAACTAATCAAGGTAATTACAGACAAGCTCATTATTAATTTAAATAAAACTTACTGACTAAGAAGTTTTTATTTCCACGAAACGTGGAGCATTTTAGTCTAACATACCTTGTTAAGTTTCACTTTGTTGGATCAAATACAATTGAGACTGGCTGTAAGAGGGGCTATTGTCATCATGAATATCGACGGTGCAACTACCAGACCACGTATCTTGTTTGCGGTGTCTAAAAATCTCCGCTCCCATTTTATTTTTTTGAAAAACACCAAATCAATATTATTTCTTGAGGTTTTTACAGATTTTTCGGCGCACAGGAAAGAAAAATCACGGAAGTTCTAAAAAATTGACGTTGAGTAGTTTTCCATTTAAAAAATAAAGTATAACAGGTAGTCTACAACTTCGCAAACCGAGATACATAGTTTGGGAGTTTCATCATCAATATGTGATCGTTCATGAAAAACGGACCTGCTGCCTTCACAAAATCTCAAAATCTAGTTATTATGATAGTATATTTGGAGAGACACGGTTAAAAAGTCTAGTTAACCATGCATAGTGCTCAAAGTTTGGAATTATAGCGCATTCTTACGCAGTATTTTGGTATACCTATTGACAATTTCGCGTCTATCCGGACGCATGCCCCTTTCCTTCTGGATGATTGCAAATACTAACATTTGGAAATTAAATTTGAACCAATGAGAAAGAGAGATAAACTGGAAACTTGGGAATATGTCGATTTTTAAGTCTCATTGTTCTGTAAGGCTCCTTATACAAATTCTTAATTTAATAAGTATTTTATAAAATACATTTTTCCCTGAAAATTGAAATTAAGACAGGAAAATGTCAATTTGAATCATCTAACTAAATATTCAAAGTGTTATCTGAATTTTAACTTAAACAAACGACTAATGATTGTCAATAACAAGAAAACAATGGACAATTTTAATTTATATATACCTCTAATATAATCCCAGGATTTTTATAAGAGTACAGCTAGGCAACCTAGAGCTAAGATATGAGCTCATATCTTGGAATAATTTGTTTGCAGGCACCAAAAGTTCATCACTGCTAGAGGGGCATCTACCACATGTCTTGAGAGATGTGAACATATCTACCAGGTGTCAAAGAGAAGTTGAACTTTTTTTGGAAGGATTCTCTAAACGAGATCAATGGGCTCTAGAAAGTAAGTATTGAGAAAATTAAAAGTTATTGTATTGATATTAAGTTTTTTTTTCATTATACTGATAAAAAAATGATCATAACCTGAATTTTATTTGGGAAACCATTTCAGGTGATCGCTTATTCTTCTAATTTGATTCAGAGCTCATAAAAAAGAAATATGCCTTCAATTACTCGATAAATTAAAATAATGGAAGGTATGTAGCTCTGTTTTACTTTCTGCGAGATGGTAGACGGAGCTGCTTTCTGAGGGGGAGAAATTCGCGTGCTATACATAGCATATTGTGGTTTTAACATACAGCGGCCTGACCTGTAGGTCATGTCAATGGCTGTACACTCTCACTTTCATTGTTTTGTTTTTTTCCGAGCGGCAATACTCAAGCCTTATTGCCAATTATAGTCTATAATTCAGAAGAAAAGGTCAAAATCATATCATAGGCTAAGTTAGTTACAGAGAATTTTCCTTTTGACGAAGTGCATGGTTAAAAAGTAAATTACTGCTGTTAGATAATATGTCCATTTTATGATTATTATGAATAAGTTTTTTTCATGAGTGATGTTTCCCTTGAAAGCTATTATAATTTTAAGAGGGCGCGCCTCTTGCCGCTTCGCGGTCGAACCCCTCGCGTTAAGCGTTATGCGTTGCTCTTATACATACTACTTATAATATACTCTCATAATACTACAGAGTAAGATTTGCATAGAGAGGACATAGACTTGACGGTTAAATCAGCTAATTATTTCATTAAGCTCAATTAAAACAAAAATTTTGCGGAGAGATTTCAAGCAGGTGGAATGAGCCCCCCCCCCCCCTTGGGATCTGGCTTTTCCTAACTTTCCTGCGCGCTCTGCTCTGTGTTTGCCCCTGAAATAATTTCAGGCCCACGGGAATTTCCTCGCACAGCAAAAGCAGGATCTCCAGAATAATTTAACCCTCGTTGGCAGTCAACAAAAATACGCTGAAGTTTTTTTGGGTTTTTTTTTCATACGAACAGTGACAACTGTGCTGAGCAACAGTTGAGTCTAAAATTTTGACATGCTGTCCGCCCTCTTCCGCTCTCTACATTGTTCGCTCGCCGGCAGACGCGAGAGGCGAGACGATTCGGCAAAAGCTCTCAAGCGTCAAAACGCACCATTTTCCTCCGTCTGAGCACGGAGAGGTCCCTTCTTGGCTTCTTTGCTTGCTAATGAACCTTCAGAGCTTCTTTATATGCTCATCACTTATCACCTACATCAGACGTCACAGGTCCCCTCTCGTGAGTTTCAAAAGGGAACAGGATATTCTTTTGTCTATCCTAGTCATGGGCGGATACGAGGGGGGTGTAGGGGACATGCCAGAAATTAGGAGAAAGAATAAGGGATGAAAGAGAGAAAGGAGGAGAGAAGGAAGGAATGGAGGAAAGAAGAAGGGAGTACGCTTATATTTGGTAATTATACATGAAAAATTAACTCGAACTTCATGTTAGATGCTTTAAAATTAATTTCAAAAATTGATGTAGAAGAAGCCCCCCGCACCGCACCCCTCTTCCGTCTCCTACCCTCACTGAAAAATTAAATTGCTGATTTAACGATTCAATCGCTAAAAAAAGTGATTGTGACGTTTCAACGTAGAATTTACAACAAAAAAATGCCGCTTTAACCACTACTGTAAGCTAAATTTAACCACGGTGGTGATTGAAGTAGAATTTTTGTGTTGTAAAATCTACATTGAAACATTGCAGTCACTTTTTTTTAGCAATTGAATTGTTAAATCAGCAATTTAATTTTTTCCGTGCTCCTTTGAAATGTCTGAATCCGCCTATGATTCTGGCATACCGCTGCAGACGACATGTACCCCGAAATCCTTTACGAGCCAGAATTACTTATCCACATTTATCTACCGTACACTAAAAATCCAACCGGGACTCAGTTTTTAATGTATCGTCAACCAACGTTCGTTCCGCAACGAAAGGCAATTATTAGAACAGTCACTTTGAAAATACAAGGGATAAACGCTCCATTGACGATGAAACTCCGAAACCACGTGTTTCGTTTGCGATATTTAAACATCTCCGCTCCTATTTCACTTTTTTAATGAGAACGTATCAACATAATTCCTTATAATCTCTTCAGAATTCACTTTGCTCGGAGAAGCAAAATCACAGAAGTTCTCCAGAATTGACGTCGAGAAATTCTCCATTTAAATATTAAAGTGCGATGGAAAGTCTGCAACGTCGCAAACCGAGATACGTGGTTTGAGAGTTTCGCCGTCTCGAAGTGGATCGAGTCAATCAGAGAGGTCGGACACGAAATTTTTGGCTAAAACTGCAAATTTTGATGTTTAAGTTTTCACTTTTTAAATTTTGAGGGGTGCTTCTACGAGAAAATTTCACGAGAAAACCAATGGAATCACTTTTAAAATCTAAAAGTTTTGATTTAACGGATTATAAGCTTTTAAAGTTTACTCATTTTGTCCGACCTCTCCTATTGACTCGATCCACTGTGCTTCGCTATGGTTTATAATAAAATGTAAGTATGCCGGATAACAAATATTTACACTGGAAAAGAAAACACATTGGATCTAGAGTCCAGACTCTTAAAAACATCGACAAGAAAAAGTACTCTTGATTCAATCAGAATCTAGCTTAAATCAAGAACCAAGCCTCTTAATTTAGGCGGATTTCGTTTTGATTCAAGCAAAAATCCGATTGAATCAAGAGTCCTTCTTCTTGTCAATGTTTTCAAGAGTCTGGACTCTAGATCTAATGTGTTTTTTTTTCCAGCGTAGAATGGAGTATCGGCGTTCTATCTAAGGTCGATAGTTATACTGTCTTGTATCTTTGCCACAGTGTTTGATGCCACGGCAAAGCTGTCGTCGGGATTATTTTCTGGGAACGCACAGCAGCTGGGAGAGTACGATCAGTGTATTGACTTGAAGAGTCCCACAATGCGGACGTCGAATCCCTTGGATGATCCTGTTGAAACAGCCGGTAAATACTGTTTAATTCTGGCCGATGTGGCAGCAAATCAAGATGCAAAACCAGGCGTTGCAGAGCTGATTCATCGAATGCGGGGCGAGAATTTACTCATCAGCAACGTTAATACTGTACGTTTTATTCTCCTTTTTTTCTCTCCATATGCGCGGGTTACGGAATAGCGTTAGGGTGGCTTTTAGTGTCATTTGATCAAACTAAAATAACCTTTTTCGATATTCAACTAGCTTTTATTAAATCCAGTAATTTAGATTTTTGGGAGACAGTGTGAATGTTTAAAAAATAAGAAATGCTTTTAAATTTTGAAACGCAGTAGACTCTGGATTATCGGCTTCGTATTATCCGGACTCTGGATTATCCGGATCGATTTTGCAACCATGTAACTACGTACGCATTCCGATAAGTGAGCGGATCCGCGGAGAAGCGGTCGCAAGGCATATTGGCGCCTGCAAGGCTGAAGGAATACTTCACGCATTGCGCCAAACAGTGAGGTCGGCGTGGAACGCATTAGCGCCTACTAGATTGCATAAATACTTCTCGCATTACGCCAAACGCAGTGCAGTCGGTTAGTTAGCCTAAAACGCACATTAACGGCTACAAGATTGCATGAATACTTCACGCATTGCGCGCTTTAATCGTTTTATTGTAATTTATCGTTGTCGGCTACCATTCACAATCACCATTGAGTCGTTCAGTTTGGCGTTAACCTCTTAAAATCGTGTTGGTATGTTCATGATGTATACATAATAAGAATACAGTGGTGTTGGTTGGTGGTGTTTGTGTTTACTATTATTATCCGGATTTCTTTTTCATCCGGATTGGGCCCGGCACCAATTAATCCGGATAATCCAGAGTCAATTGTACCGCAAATGATGGCTCCGCCATCAATATGTTAGCTAAGTAAACGGAAGTAAGTAGATCGGTGCAAATGTCATTCAGCAAGTAAATTAAACTCTTTCACTTCCTTCCCGCCTCTATAAAACATCTGTGAAGCAATATTTTACGCTTCCCCTTTGAATTACTTGAAACTGGGTTGACTCCCACCTACATATCCAATTGTTTAAAAAACAACACAGAATTCTGATTTTTTTTTCTTTTTTGAAAAATACAAATTTTTAAAAACAAAAATATTTGTAGTAAAAAATACTTCTTTTTCAATGGAAGGCTTACGTAAACTTGGCCCGACCTCCTCCCCCCTTCCTTCGAGAGACTAAGTTAGGAAAGATCCTACCCTCTGGGTGGCTTAAGCAATATACTTTAAGCTAGCCATTACATTCGTGGTACACCCGCCCCTTTCAATTTGTCTCGTAGATAAAATTAAAAAGCAAATTATGATATGATATTCTCCTCTAGAATGATTTTGTTCTTGCCAACCACCGGAGCTCTCATATAAAGTTATTCATGTTTGATAAAATTGACTCTAAAACCAAGCGCTATGACTTTCTGCTCAGACAGGCCACTTCGTTCCACGATTCAGCACTGTCCATATTGGTGTCTGCATTCCAAGCGGCTGTTCGGCCTCTGAACTCGAGTCTGCCTTGAGCGGCCTGAAACGGAACCTACTCCCAAACGAAGTGAACCTTAACATTTCTGTCAAGGATGAGATGTGTTACATTAAGACGGAAAACCAGGACCTCTCTCTATCGACGAAATGTGTCCTGTAAGACTTCTTTTGTATTCAATAATCGTAATGTTCTTTTATATTGCACTCTTTTGACTCATCTCTAGGCATAAATATCTAATTTATCGATAAGAAACTCTACGTCTAATGTCATGGAGGATGAAATTCTGGTCACAAAAGAAGAAGAATAAGATGAATATTCATGCAGCATTCCCCGCATTGCTGCATTGATAGCTGGACTGAACTATTGGTTACCACGAAAGTATAGCATCGTAACTGCGACTAGAAAAGTGAGCAGGACCCGAAATGTGCCATGAGCAATGTTTGGAGCAACAATTCTTTTTTCTCCATGTTTTTGATTCATTACAGATTCTCATGTAAGTGTGAGGTAGCAGCAAAAACAAATACTCATACAGGATCTCATTTTTGAAGAAAAATCAGACCTATCATTTCTAGATACTCGACTCCAAAATTTATTTGAAGATATTCTATTCAAGATACAAATTTAAAATCATATGAGCTTCTCACATGAGCTTCTTTTACAAATTCAGAAAAACCATCATTTTATCTCAACCTAAGTAATACAGTAAGGTAAATTATCCCTATTTTTACACGTAATACTACGACCACCATTTTAAGGCCAAAATAGTTGTCTATAGTCTCAATCCCCTATGAAGTGGTGTATATGAGTAAAATGCTCACTATGTCCAAAATTATCAATAATTGCAGTTTAAATATTTTGAGAAAGTTTCCTTGAATAATCAAGATCAACGATGCGAAATTTAATATTTGTTTAAATTTATAGGGTGTAATGTTCTTTTCCTCTGACTTAATTTTACTTCGTGATAATGGAGATTAAAATTAAGCCTTTTAAGATTAAAATTAAGCCTTTCGTTTTCCAGGGGTATTTACTGCATTGTTGTTATCATAAGTATTGTGGGTACGGTAATGGATTCAAAATGTTTCAACAAATTGTTTTATGATGGTAAGTTTGCCGAAAAATGATCAATTTTTGCATGATTAGCATTCATTTTGATGACATCCACAGTTGATTTTCGGCTTCCATATTGACCCAGATTATTTCACTTCCTCTACAGTTAGGCTAGGTTCCGTCTGGGACTGCGAATAGTAAATTAATATTTGGATTATATTTTGCAATGAGGAACCACTATTTCTAGCTCCTTTTAGAAACAACATATATGCCATCGGTTTCCCTATGCAGATATGTGCTTTTATGGGAGAGCCAGGTATAGTTCAGGTTATAGTTATAGTTTCCTTATTACAAAATGTAATCCATTTGGTGTTACCCTCAGTGGTCAACGATCGAGGTGAAAAGGTCGAGGTTGATATCTACGGTGAGTGTATTCTATTGCAGCTAAGAGCACCAAACAAAAAATGTTGTAGAGATGGATAAACGCACACTAAGAAAAGAAAAAAATACTTAAACTTCCAAAAAATTGCAAGTTTTTCAGAGAAAAATGCGATTGATTGCTGATATTGAGTGCTTGCACCTGTTTGAGATAGTTGTCAAAAAACCCCAAGTAAGACCAACCACGGAGGAAAAAAACTTGGTGCACTGGGCCTGAAGTTCCGATCATGTGAATCTCTGATCTTTTCTGATCGTACATCTGAAAACTTGAGGTGCAGCTGCTGAAGTTCCAGCCACACATTTCAAGTGCTTTGGTGCGTGAGTTACTCTCTCGTAGAAGTTCTCAGCCTTTGCACAAAAATCCCTCTGATGTGTGAGCTGAACTTGGACAGCTGAAACTCAGTGGCGTGGCGTGCTTTGCGATATATTGATTGATCTGCCATTTAAACGTATGGAAAAGGGTCGATTTAATAATCGGGTGTTCGCTGCGAACACCCTAACAATCGATTCTTCACCACAGCTCATATGGGGAAATATCGATAATTGATCATTCACGCCTCGCCACTGCTGGAACTGCGTGTAACCACATAGGATCCAAATGACGTGAGCTTCGGTTCTCAAGTAGGAATTTTTTTTCTCCGTGAAGCACATTTCCTAAAATAAATTGTTCAACATGTTGCATGAGGATACGTAAAATTCCGATTTGACAATTAAACGTACAACCACTGATTAAAATTTCCCTTGAAATTGAATAGAATTGTGAAAGTTAATTGGGTTAAATGAACATACTTAAAAGGATAAAAACGATTTTTATAGGCCAATAATATTGATCATGCATGCTGATGAAAATTGATTGAAATCGCAGAAATGTCTACCTCGGTTTATGGCGTTGCAGATTTTCTGTCATACTGCATTTTCTACGTAGAAAATTAGGTACCAAATGACATTTCATGAAAACCTCGGTAATTTTTATTCACTGTGTGATGAATATTCTGTGAAAATTTCAAGCCATAATGTTGGTTAGGTCTCATTTTAAAAAATAAATTATGAGCGGAGATTCCGAAACACTGCAACCAAGCGATACGTATTTTTGCAGTTTCACCATTTATCGATGGTTTATCGACATTATCATTTATTCTGTTCTCTCAGGTACTGATACAAGAACGATGACGAGTATAAAGGCGTTTTCATTGCAAAGGAACTTCAAAAGTTTACTGCAGAGCAAAAATGAGGATTTACCATGCATCAACGGGATTCGAGCCTTGTGCACCATCATGCTTTATTTGGCTCACAAGATGATCATCCTCTGCATGACACCTTACAATAACAGGCACGCACTAATTCAGGTTGAATATTCCCTTACATCCACGCTTCTTGCTTTGCATGTTTCCGAATTTTGAAGCACTGTTGAGCAATCACTCATGAGGTGAACATTCAGAAATGGTGTACATTTGAGGGTTGGAGTTTTCGAGTTAAGCTGAACCTATAGCTTTGAAAACTTCGGAAAACACAAAAACTTTTGTAAGGATACTTTTTGGTACTATGTATTTGTGTAACATCTGATAAAATAAAATAAATTAATGACAAATTCGGTACCTAGTAAAAAATATCGGGCAACGGGTCGTCAGCTACATGAAACATAAATTGTTCCATAGATTCTGCCGCAGTTTTTTTCAGAAAAAATAGGAAAATATCAGGTTTGGTGTCAGATATGAAAACTGTATGATACCAAACATAATACATACAGGTGCCTTTTAAGAGGAAGCAATGTATATTATATTAAATATACGAAAACTGCATGGTATTTACGTACCATGCACGTGCCCAAATATGCATACCATACCGTTTCTAGTTTGTTTGCTTTCGCTTCTCTCTCAACCCTTACGCACTCAAAAATTTCCATTCGTGTGCTTCTGAAGTGTTTCTTTTTCTTTTTTTCATCAAATCAAAAAGTTAGCCAAGTAATCTTGAGGCCACACTCCTCGAAATGATAGATTTAAAAGTACTGAAAATGTTGTACTCGATAAATCAATACCGTACAAAATACATGTGGAGCTCTCTAATTTCTCTTACCTAGAATGGATGTGTACCATAATTCGCAATCATGTGCATGGCCTTGCACCACTAACGCGTCCATCTCTTTCATCAATATACTGATGAAAATACAGGCACAGCAATTGCTCCTTGAGAACCCATTTCTATCTGCATTGCAATCCAAAGGTGTGAAGCCAGTATTCAGAATTCAATTGCGAAATCTGCAACGCGTTAAAAACCCCTTCAATACTTGTCCTCTGCAACCAGCAACTCGTATCGTTTGTTGATAACTGAGATGTGTTTAATTTTTTCAATCAGATTTATTCTGAGAAAACAGTGCATATCGTTAGGTAATCCTATGTATTCGGAGGATTTTGAACTTTTTATATACTTCGAAAAAAGGAAGAAAAAAGCTTATTGACATTGAACATTTAGGTGCACAATAAGTTGGAGGTATACGTTGCGTTTCTACAAATAATTTTTTCAGATTTTTATTAGATCTTGCCCTTGTTGCTGAAAGGAATTTCTTATGAGCGCAGAACATGAAATCTCCAATGTTTTATTTTTATTTTATCTTTTTCCAGGACTCTCATTTAACGATTACCGCTGCTTTTCGGAGTTCCATGATCTATACTGATACGTTCCTTCTTCTAAGTGGAGTGCTCTCGTCCTACAATTTCTGCAAAGAAATCCGGAAAAAAGGCCACATAGCCTGGTTCCATCGGTTTTTCGTAAGATATTTTAGGTAACTTTGTTATGAATTGTTTCCTTCATTCTCTATCATTTTTGAATTAAAGAAGTTGGTTTGGGTGTCATTAAATGTAATTATCTCGATTCTACTCGATTAATATATGATTTAGCAGCAAAAAGTGTTGTAAAAATAACTTCAGCATACATTTCGGCGTTTCCCGCACGAAGGAACGTAACTCCATTCCAAGGTTGCCAAATTGACTCAAACAATCAATTTATTTTTTACAAATATACGTAAGCAATTTCTATCCAAAATATCTCTGTTTTTTGCTTGGAATCTAGAGAAAAATCAGTGAAATTTTCTGTTAGAGATGCCCAAGATTCTCTCGATTAATAGGCAACTTGCGAGGGGAAATTTGGCAACATTGAAATGGAGTTATATTCTTTCACCCGGGAGACGACGATTTGATGAAACTTTTTTTATTTTTAAAAACATTTCTTCGTTTGAGGGTAATATCTCTGCTCAAATATCTGTCCTCAATGCTCGCATAACAATTTGGTTAATATCCTCCGGGTTTGGATTTGTATCATTAATGATACTTTATATATCCTCTAGATTGACTCCTGCACTGTTGGCCATACTGCTCTACTATGCATTCGTAATGGAACACATGGGCTCTGGCCCTCAGTGGCCGACGGTCATTAAACCTAATGCGGATCTGTGCAAGAAAAACATGATTTGGAATTTGCTCTACGTAAACAATTTCTTTCCCTTTCAAGATAATGTAAGTATCCTTTATGCTCATGCTCATGAATAGTGGCCGTTGAAGTAAATTATTAGAATCATTATTAGAAGATCTATCAATTAATCTTACTGCACTGAGAAGAATTATCGTTAGAAGTACGGTAATAGTGAAGTTCCTTAAGAAGTGTTTAATTAATCGTAGCCATAACTAGTAAACCAGTGGCATTTTTACGGTTAAATGATGATTGGATTATTCTTCAATGATAAAAACACCAGTGTTACTGGTAATGACTACTATTAATTAAGAGATCTTCTCTCACGTTTACCATGATTTCCTAAGTACAAATTTTGGTTGCTTTTCTGAACAATACTTCTTTGAAAAGTAGATCAATGCAAAAATATAGTGCTTATATTAGTTAGTAGTTTATTAACTTATATGGATCCAAACAGTCTTCAGAATAAATTAATAAATATTGATACGCAAATAAATATACATATGAATTAGTAAAAAGAAAATTAAGCAAATTCATGTCAAAATTTCCACAATGACGAATTTTGTAAAAGCTTAGTTGATCGCGAGTGAGCATGTAAAAATGCGCGTTTTACACAGGTGGCAGGCATGCATGTGGTATCATTAGGAAATGAAGGAAAACTAGAATTTCTATGGACCTAAATTCGGCATAAGTTTTTTCCCGTCCTCCCTCATCTTTTAGTTTTTCTTCTTCTTCGCCTTCTTTGTTTTTTCTTTGTTGACATTTACTGCCCGTATATCTTCATCTATCATCTACGAGTGCAAATAGACAACAGCTGCAAAGCGGATAAACACATCGATGGGGAATCTGCAAAAATGAGTATCTCTACTGTGTTAGAAATCTCCGTTCCTATTTTATTTTGTAAAAGGAGACCGAATCAACATCGTGGCTTGACATTTTTACAGAATATTCTTTACATAGAGGAAAAAAGTCATCGGAATTTGCAAGAATTGATGATCACTAGTTTCCAATGTAAAAAATAAAGGACAGGAATTCTGCAACGCCGCAAACTGAGGTGCCTACACACATCTACAGTTTCACCATCGACATACTTTCAACGGAGATGTTGCATGTGTGAGGAATTTGCGATTTGACTGTTTTGACAGTTGACAATTTGACTATTGATTCTTATGTTAAAGTTCGGGAGAAACACGATGGTGCCACTGGTTTTATCTGAAATCAACTCCCAAGCTCAAAAACAGCTCTCAAGTCGAGGCCAAATTGGAGGGGATATCCCACGCTATCCTGAGAGTCCACCTCTACATCAAGACAAACTCTCCATGCAAAGATAGGGAGCAAATACATTAGTAGTGATGCCGTGTTTTTAGTTTTAGAGTCCCCAAATAAAGTGGCAGCCCTGTCAATGTATTTGCTCCCTATCTTTGTATGGAGAGTTTGCCTTGATGTAGAGGTGGACTCTCAGGATAGCGTGGAATATCCCCTCCATTTTTGCCTCAACTTGAGAGCTTTTTTTGAGCTTGGGAGTTGATTTCAGAGAAAACCAGTGGCACCATCGTGTTTCTCGCGAACTTTTATACAAGAATCGATGGTCAAATCAAATTCCTCACACGTGCAACATCTCCATTGTAAATTTGTGCATCCATGAAAGGGCCTCAAAGTTATTTTTTGTTTCAAAATATTCAGTGCGTCACTCAAAGTCATCAGCTGGCTGTGGATATGCAACTCTTCTTGATCACTCCCGGGTTAGTGTACTTGCTTCATTACAACCACTGCATTGGATTCCTGGTCATTTTTGCTTTGAACCTTGGCTCAACTTTCCTTCGCTACTTCATCGTGCTGAACAACAAACTATCGCTCATAATTCATTACGGAGTAACGTAAGCATCTTTATATCACGTATTTATGAATGCTAAGCTGCTAAGCGTCCAGGTTATCAAACTGTGTTCTAGCTGTACTCGTGTAGATATATTTTTCTGGTAGTGATAAGGCGTCTTCATTTTGCGGTTCGTTTTCGATCAGTTTTTGTATTTCATCATCAAAATAGTAAGGTTCATAGAACGATTCCGTGCGCCATGAAAAAATTCCGGTGATTGAAAAGTCTTGAACAGCAAAAAAATAAGTATATTTGTCCATGTTAATTTGCATTGGTGACTTTTCTTCAGAAGACGTGATGTATAAAGACGTGACAGCTTTTTTCAAGAAGCCTCACTAATGCCACAAAAAAAATTAGTGGTTGAGATTTGAAGCAAGCATCTTGTTACAAAATGACGAGCTGAAAAATTAGTTTTTGCACCTCTAACTTGACTTTAATCGAGGAAAATACGTGAAAATTCTCAAAAAGACTCAAAAATCTATTCGTATTTTCGCTTCTTTTTTAGTTCAAATAATAATTCACATTAAGTTCACAATAATTTTTGAAATTATAGTTGATTTTAAAGTGACGTTCTTAATTTTTTTATGCTCCTAGATGTAGATGAGGTCTATTGAAACAGTTTTTACTTTTTTCAATTTTTTTTTCAATTCTAGCATTTGAGAATTTCTTGGAAGTGGCTGATATAACTTTGGTACAGAAAAAAATGATATTGCTGAAAAAAAGTGTCCGACATTTTTCAGTGTAGATTTTACAATAAAAAAATGCTAATTTTATTAGCTTTTCACTATTGTAAAATGTACATTTGGAACATGTCTGACATATTTTTTAATAATTTAATTCTTAAATCGACAATCCATTTTTTCCGGGTATGTCTTAAAACTGTGCTCACTATCAAACACAGAGCCACACTCATGCTTTTAACCGCGGTCATTGCCGGATAAATAATAACATATTTTAGAATATGCTAATCTTCACTGTAGCAGGTACTTTACTTAGGAAACTCGGCTTTCTTTTCAGAGGGAGTAAAAATTAGGTTCCTCTGCTCGTTTCTCCTGTTTAGAAATAATCTTTAATTCTTTCAGAGCAGAAGATCTCTACAAGGCGGCTGATCTGTGCTATAGTCAAACGCTACATCGCGCCACGCCGTACTTGTTCGGAGTATACACCGGTTTTGTGCTGCATAGGTATAAATCTCGGATTGGGAAACGGATGTCACCGGTGAGCTCATTCCTAGTTCGTGCAGTATATTTGGATTGCATTTTGCAAAAAGGAACCTTACATTTCTTGCAAAAATTTACTGAAATCATGCAAAAAATTAAAATTATAAAGGTAATTTTCATCTTGAATTCATAATTTATAGGGAGTAAAAATGAAATTTGAATAGATGATCAGTTTATATTTGCAAGGTGAAAAGGGTTGCACAATCTTAGCGATATTGAAATGTTCATGGATCCTTCTTGCAAAATGCAATCCATTTAGTTGTATCCTCTTGATTTATTTCTATTCCATTGTGAAAAAAACTGAGATGTCACCGCTTGATGGTGAGGGGATTCGATGTAAAAATCAAACGATGTAATCATCAGAATATTGCATCTTACTTTGTCGACATTAAAAATTAATGTAATTTTGACTCTGTGACCTGTGTGATGCCATTTATCTGAAAGAAAAGTTCGATCGTATGAAATAAATTTTTGGTGTTCCTTATCGATCGAGGTATGCGATTCGTCAATGCCAAATTTCACTATTCCCTCCTTAATTCTGTCCTTATCTGAATTATTTTTAGGACAGCCGGAATTCTCGTTTATCCGATGACATTATTTTTGCAGCAATCAGAATCTCATCGGGACAACGAGAGTTTCGGTGGTCACAGAAAAAAAGAAGTAGAAAAAAAATCTTATGAGGGAATCATTAATAGAACGTTTACTACTGGCAACACCACAAAACTCGGTTGCCCCAAAAGCTTCGAACTCACTCCAGAGTCCCTTTATAGAGATAGTTGAGACGACGCGGCTTGTGGATGTCACAAACGGGAACGAAGATTACATAAATCAGACGTTTTTTGTAATCTTTGATCAACCCATTCCCAAATTCCTGTCTCCGTTCCCTCTCTCATTCCATTTGTTCCTTGCCGTGTACCTCCAATTCCTCGGTCCATTCGGGTTTATAATCTTTGCAATTGATGAAAATGTAATCTTTATTCCCGTTTGTGACACTGTGATGGCCTAAAATACGGGAACCAATCAGAAACAGATTCGCGTTGTCTTTCCTCTCAGTATAAAGGGACTCTAACTCACTCCAAACGATATCGATAAGCAGCATACGAATGTTTTTACATGATCTTTTCCAATTTTTTCTTTCTTAAACCTCTCTCCTCTTCTCTTTCTGTGGAATGTTTGGTGCATGGCTGTATGTAGTTCCTGATCGGAGTACTCTGGGCTGGAATAATTGGAGGTGGTGCATGGCCTATTTGGCAGGTGGCACATTTGTCACATCCAAAAACACCGTACGTCGCTCACGCGTCTGCCGTGTATGCCGCTCTCTCTCCCTTCATCTGGGCTCTGGCCATGTCTTTGCTCATAGTTTCCTGTTCCTTTGGATATGCAGGTTTGTTTCCATATATTGTCACTAAGCTCAACGCATTATAGCCGATAGGGGTGGGGAAAATGTTGAATTCAACTCTAAGAAAATGTCTAAAATAATCACAAAAAATATCCGAATACAGTTGGATTGCATTTTGCAAAAAGGAACCAAGAGCATTCCAATGTCGCTAAGATTGTGCAACTTATGTACCTTGCAAATATAAGCTGATCATCTAAACAAGTTGTATCTTTACTCCCAATAAACTGTACATTCAAGACAGAAACCCCCTTTATAAATTTCATTTTTTGTATGATTTCGATATTTTAATTGTGAATAATGTCAGTTGCACAATCCTAGCAATATTGTAATGATCGTGGTTCCTTTTTGCAAAAGGCAATCCAGCTTTTAAAACTCAAAAACATTAACATACCTTCTTGATTTAAAAATCAAAAACAATGATATACGTTCTTGTTATAAAAATCAAGAACACTAAGATCTTTGGGGAAAGATTTAAATTTATTTAATTTTAGGAGATCATTAGTGTTCTGAAGAGCCTCGCGCCAGTTAAGACAGTTTTTAACCAATATTCAAACAATATTGTTTCATAATTTACTTAAATGCGGTATTACCAATGGCTAAATACTGTAAAGCAGCGAGTTTTCCCGCTTGTTTTTAATTAATTGAAATCATGGACTGAACCAACCAACTGTACGTTTTTAAGGTAAAATGATACATTTCTCTGCGTTAAATAATAAAAAACCATCGGAAGATATTTGCAGCAATAATAATATCAAGTATAATTATTTGTGATTTTGATGTCTGTTCTTTCTAAATATGCACAGGTCCACTGCAGAGGATACTCAGCCACAACGGTCTTGCTTTTCTTAGCAGGATTTCTTACCCCGTCTTCCTGTCACAGTTCGCCATTTTCTTCCATCGACTAGCCTCCATACGATCGTCACGATACTACACGAGAACGGAACTGGTAAGCATAGATCTCTCAAATCGGGACTTGATTATTTCCAAGAAAATACACCGAGGACAATAAAGGCGAAGATGTTCGATAATGTCGAATGATGTACGAGTGTTGCATTCCGTATCTGAACCCTTAGAATGCGGTATGTCCCACATTTATTCGAAACCCCGCCGCGAGTGTGTGAGCTGAAGTGTCCCGACCATACGTAAGTTTAAGGATTTTGATAGGTAGCATTATTCATCGCGGCGCGCAATCTATGTGTCAAACTTTGAGACGTAGCATCCATCAAATTCCGAAGCAATAAGCCATCATACATCCATCAAAATGAGAGGGAATCTCCCGTGTGGTTGATGGCTCTGAGACCAGAATTTGTATATTTCGCGTAGTTTTGATCAAGAACATAACTAAATTTTAAAACATGTTGCTATTAAGTAAAGAAGTAAATTTTTGTATTTGTACTCACCTTTCATATTTTCTTTGACGACATTAATAACCTAAGTTTCTGAATGTCTCTAATAAAAATAACTATCAAACTAACCAGAAAGAGCCACAGAAAAAGGACTTATGTAATAATCAAATGCTGCTTGTCCGACAGGGCCTTCATCTTTCAATTTTACCCCTACTAAGAGCAATCTTTGTGACTACTAGTACAGCGGAAGAATAAGCAAAATTTACATTCGCAGGTAACAAAAAAGATCAATGGAAAAAGAGCTATTTTCGGAATGAGTGCAGGGGTGATATTTTTTGATTACCGAGGATATATTGTTCAAATTGTCTAGGGAAATGATCATCTCGTGTATGTGACCCCGCCCTTTTATAAGTGGCTATCTGCGAAGCAAAATTACGCCAATCAACCTAAATGACAACAATAATAAATTACTGACAAGTGGGCAAGTCCGTAAGTAAGCAATTGATAACCTTAAAGCGGTTATGAAACTAGAAATATACTATCTTGATTGCGGTGCTCCAAAACGTTACGCCAATTATTATGATTTTTCAAAAATATGTTCTCTAATATTTTTGCAAGAAATGATCAGAGAATTCTTTTAAAAATTCAAAGGAAATTACGTCACACGTGCAAGAATGAGGATCGGCCATCCTCCAAAATGTGGATCAAGTAGTGTTGGAATTGAAGTTTGCTAAAAGTTATCTTACCCGTCATATATGCAATTTTTTAAATAAATATAATCTCTATAGATATGGGCGAAATTATAAGGTTACTTTTCAAGCACATATTCAACTAAAGGTGAGGTAATCGGTAAATTAGGTTGGATGATTTCAAATTCAGTACGATTCGTGGAAAAAAAATCAGGGTAAATTGAGTTTAATTTAATTGGATCATTCTGGATGACAGCTGAGATATTGTGCGTCAAATAATTTCTTGACTACCTCAAACAATTTTTCTTTTTCTTTTTTTTTTGTGGAGGGAGGGTGTCACAATTTGCTATGGTTGGTTTACGATTTGCAAAACGACTCGGAAGCGACTGAGTCGAGGGAGGGGGGAGGGGGTGGTTTATCGATTCTGAATGCTCCTCGCTGAAACAAATGTCTAAACTTCAGCCGCGCGGGTTTCCGGTCCATTTAAGGCGTAAATTATTCACTCGCAAATGAAGACTCTTGAGACACAGGAGACGGGAAATCAGCTCTGGCAGGTAAAAATAATTCATGACTCAAGTTTTGCATTCGTCGGGCAAATCTGGGCTGCCTCCATGAGGAAACGCCTACATGTCGTGAGGAAATAAAAAGAAAGTGGACTTCCTGCAGGGTTAAAACATTTTAATTTGATCAACATGCCTTGCGATGATTTTCAAGCTGCACACGCAAAAATAAAATAAGTTAAATTTCAAAAAATTCAATTAAACATATCGAAAGCAAAGAATATTATTTCACGTGAAAGTTATTGTTGTAAAGTATTCGATTTGAATTTTTATGGGACTATAAATTATCCATAATAATTCACAATCAATGTTAATACACGGAAAAAGTGTCAGGAGTTATCCTCTAAAACTGTAGTGCCACCCCATTTGTGTGGATGACATGTACATTTAAGTTGTTCGATTTGGGGTATTACCGCAACTTTTGGGTTAGTGACCTAATTGTTCGGGGTATTACACAAATTAATTAAAAATATCCAAGTTGGGGCTTAACCCCTTCCTCTTTTCTCCGTGTAATGTATGTTGGTCGTAAAAATACTCAATCCTGTGAATTCTCATGAAAAACTTTGATCATTTCAAACATTTTAACGCTTCACATTAAAAAAGCTATCTTCCTTTCGAAAATGGCAACATATGTACGTCATTCATTATGATAATGCACACAACGTATCTCTTTATCTCAGATTCATCAGTCTGTGCTTTGCACTGGCTGCGTTTAGTGACTTACTTAGTATGGTGGAAAGTATCAGCTGAACTAGGTGTTACTTATTCAAACGGTAATAATTTTGTTCAATTTTGGACGTAAAAAGTCGATGTTTCGACGGATGAGGGTATTTTGTGCTAATTTTTAACCCTCTACTTTGTATTGAGTCGAGGGTCCAAATGATCACACAAGCGGTATACTACGTGTACGCGTCAATAAGCAGCAACTAATGCAGGGAGATAAATAAATTAAATACGATTTCTATCTCAAAAACACAGATTTTCATCCCTTAATAAATTTTAATTGAACTAATAAACAATGTTGTGAACCTAACGGAAGGTACCGCGTTCAATAGAAGTCCACTTTCGATTTCGCCTCATTGGCAATTAATCCACCTGGGAGCGCAAATAGTTCTCATTTCAGAAAACGTACATGTATTTTGCTCCGTGAACGTCTAACGTGAAATCTATTTGCAGATATTGTCCACTTTAGCGCCTTCAATATCACGAAATAGGCAACAAACATACTGGGGAGCGCGAATAGTTATCTATTCAAAAATATACAGGATGACCTAAAAATCGTAGGACACCCGTGTAACATTTGAACAAATTGTGTCAAAGTAACACGCCTCTTTGACCTTAGAGGGTTGTAAGTATATTTTGTTCCCTTTAAAACTTCTGAAAGATTGTTCGATTCATTGGTTTGCGAAGTAACGAAACTATTCCTAATTATCGAGCTAAAATTTTGAGTGAATCACTCGTACCTATACTGAAAGCCTGGGCAAGTAAGGAGTCATGTTTTTTTTTTCTCCCAGATAAATCTGTCGTCCAAAAATTGTCTGTATTTTCTAGTTCCAATACTGCTCAGTGCGAATCATTTATTTTTGTCTGCAGGTTGTTCCCGAGGAAATTTTCATAATTATAGTAATCTCTATGACAATTACTTTGCTTTTTGATCTGCCTTTTCAAAACATCAGAGCTACAATTATCAAAGGTAGGATATATTTGTAACAGAATTTATTTTCTCAACATCATACTCTCGGCAGTGAGAATGACAAGTTTTGATTGGGGAAGAGATTGAACTTGCATTCATCAATAAGCTCATCATGCTGCTTTGAGGACAAATTTCCAATAACATGAACTGTAAGCACGCAGTGTTGCATATTGGATGTAATATTCGCTTCATGTAACCGATCTCGGTTCTGCAAACCATATACTCGGCTCATGCGAATGAGATTTTTCTTTGAAAGGGGTCTTTGGTAAGGAGGAATAAAATTTCAGTCTGGCCTTATCAATATGAAATTATGATCTCTGTAAAACACTCATGATCCATTTATCAAGTTTGAAAGTGTTACCATGGCACAGAACAGTAAAATACTGAACAGTGCAATTCCTGCTCTAGCGAATAATATTTTTTGTTTGATTTTTCAGCACAAAGTGAAGAAAGAAATGATTGTTTGAATGAAGATTCCAAAGTCACCGATAAAAGATCGAAGAAAAAAGACTGAAGAAATGTAAAAAAACTTGGCTAGTGCTTGATCTCATTTTAGTTTTGAAATTGTTTGCTTTAATTAACTGTAGGTAGTAGCGATTTAAAACAGAAGAATTAGATAAAACTACTATTGAAGAGGATAAATTCAGAGGTATTAAAATTAGTCTAGAGAAAGTGAGGAGGAGGATTTTAATTCTAGAGATCCTTGAACGCACGGTTATTTGCAACTGGTTCAACTAGTTCTTTCAAATTTACAAATTTGATACCAAAGGTAATTTCTCTTCTATTCAGTTTATCTTTTTTAGTTGATTACTAAATTAATTGTTTTAGTTTATCTTTTTTAGTTTATCCTTTTCTAGTTCATCTTTTGTTATAGTTCATCCATCTTTAGTTCATCTTTTTTAATTTACCTTTTTAAGTTTATCTTTTCTTTACCTATTAATGTATTTACTCTTAATCTAGTGATTGTGAGAAGTGAGTTTTTTCTTTCAAAAAGGGTTCAAGACTGGATATTATCTAACCCCTTAAGAGCTCTTGGATTATGATACTCGTGAGATCAAAATAGATATAGTTCATGCGGTTAATTGTTTGCTCTTATTGAGGATTACATAAGGATGTAAGAATGTTTTCTTAAGAAATCAGTAACCTGAATTTAGAATGACAATTAAATTCAATCAGTATTTTTATATCAATAAAAAAGAGTCCTTTTGCTCTTTGTTCCGACTTCACTCCATTCTCCTTAACGCTATGCTAAACATTTTGTATCAATGTTCTGTGCTGATACCTTTTTATCCTATTCGCTATGCTGTATTACGAACATTTTATCAGCCCCTTTAGCTCATACTTTCGTGTTGGCTTAGGCCCAAACTTTTGGGCCTAAGCCAAACGACTTAACTTAATTAACTTTAGTTAATTTATTTATAAACATTCAGTATTTTAGGCTATTAATTTTACAAAGAATATGAAAGATAGGTGCATTTAAATTAAGGGAGGCAAAAAATTGATTCAGTAGTTTGGTCGTGACATTGGGCTCATCGCAGGTTAAAAGGTTCACCTCTGAAACCCGTCTGTGTATTTACTGTCACCCTAAAAAAGAATGGCAAATAAGAACCATTTTGTAACATTGATCGAGATTATCAAAAATATGTATAGGCTTAGAATTTTAATTTAATAAGGAAACTCAAAATTCCATGTTAGGGCAAATGGAAGAAACATAATGAGCAGAGCTGTTTTATTTCATGAACAGTATATAAGAGCAGAATTTAATGAGCTGCACCCGCGGTCTGTGTTTATATATGCAGAGATATAGTTTCACGATACAACGCTCAGTTTCTGAAAACCCCAATAACTGAAACAGACTGTGTGTGGAATTTATCTAGCATTTGTGTATTTAAAAGGCCCCTGCTCTTGCATACCTTTTGGAGTTAAGAAATCCCTGCCCAGGTGAATAGAAAACTGAAAGGGGTCACTTTTTCGTAAACAGAAAAAGAAAGGAGGTATTCCGAGACCGGGTGCTAAAGAATCTGGAGCAAAAAACAATACTTTCTCTTATTCCTCTCGTTCCACGGAGAGGAAGGAGGGGTAGGAAATAAAAACCCGTCATAGAATCGAGAAGACGCTTTATTGAGAACAAAAGAATGCCCCCTTTTATTATGAAAAGAGAAAAAAGAAGAAAAGGAAAATACTGCCGGGCTGCTCTTGTTCTTGTGGTAAATTGAGAGAGATACTAAAGCCTTTGGGGAGGGGGGGGGGGTCATTTTTAAGAAAATCCCATGGGAGATGGTGAAACATTTTCTGGAGTTGTGGGAATTTCCATCATTCGAGGGAAAGGTAAACAAAAATATGAAAATGAAACAATAATAATAAAAAAGTAAGAGAAAAAAGAGCAATTAAAGGGTTTTGAGGGCAAAGCACATAAGTGCAGTTTTTGCTATTTTGAGAAATACGGGTTTGAAGTTTCGAAATTACATGGATCCTGGCGGAAAGAAAGTTCAAACTGACTTTTTGATGCTTAAAAGATTGGAATTTGAGAGTGAATTTTTCACAGAATACACATTGAGACTGGTTTTACTTGAAATCATTAATATCTCAATTTCTTTCAAAAACTGCACTTAAACGCCTTGTCCTCGAAGCTCCTTAATTATAGTAACAATCTCTTTTAGGGAACAAATGTAAAAAGTGCAACTAAGTATTCTACTGGTTTGATTTAAGAAACTGTTGAGCTGTCGCACTGTATACTACTGTGTTTTTAAATCGACCATTTATTTTTCCTTTGTCTCATCCCCTCTCATCGCTTATCTTTTTCACCCCTTTTTCATCCATTTTCCTTTTCTCCTTCCCCTCCTATTCCTAATTTATTTCTTACAGGGTTTCTTCATTTGTTTAACATTTTCTCTTGAAAGACGAGTGGGCATGATAAAATATACAGCTTTGTTCAATTGATACCTCTGAAAAGCGATGAATATGTGTTTTTCGGATGGATAACTATTCTTTCCTCGGTAGGTTTGTTGCCGCATTCCACCCCATACGGCACAATTAACGGTGAACATCAAATCGACGATAGGATCACAACATCATTCATCAAAGGTTCTATCAATTTTTTTTTTTTTTTTTTTAAACGAAATGGAAGTGTGTTTTTTGAGTAGGTAACTAATCGTGCTCCCAAGTAGGTTTGTCGCCTATGCAACACAATTGAAGGCGACTCTCTAGAGAACGATATCTGGCAGCAGTCGAAAGATTTACACATTGTCTATTGAATCTGTCATTCGTAGTATATAATTGTGAAATTTTAGGTGAACTTCAATCAAACGTAGTTATGCGAGCGGGAACTGAACGAAACATCATCAATTTTTAGTTTATCAGGAATTTGCAGCCTGGCAAGAGCTAAGGACAAATAAAGTTCCCGGAAAAAAACTCCTTTCATCCCTAAGGAACAGCGCATGGTGAATAAAGAAAACAAAGATGCAGCGAAAATGCATTGAATCAAAAGGACCCATATCGACGGTGTAAGTCGGCAATCACATACGACGTCGCAGACTTCCTGTCATACTTTATTTTTTAAACAGGAAATCACTCAACGGCAATTGTTTTAAACTGTCATGATATTTTCTTCTCCATGCTAAGAAAATTCTGCAAAAACTTCAAGAAATAATGTCAATTTGTTCTCCTTTAAAGATATAACATGAAGTCGGAGATTTTCAGACACCGCAAACGAGTTATGTGATTGGTGACTTACACCGTCGATATGTATTTAGCACCCTGTGAGGATGTTGAATCGAGTAGAAAAGTGGTCATGTACTGAAAAGAAGTTCTACCCCGACCATTCAAAATTTTAATTTTTTAGATTTTTAAACATTTTAACGCCAACAATATTTGCAAAACTTGCTCCCTTGATAAATTTAGAATTTGTTTATGATTCCATTGTGAACAGGTACATCCAAGTAGAGGATACCTACCGACAATATCACAGCATGGTTGCGTTGGTCCAATCAAGTCTTGTGGACCGATATGAATGTGTGGTTTTCAAATAAATATTCCACTCGCGCTTCATTTTCGCTCCCCGGAATGATTTGTTTCCTCTGCGTTGAAATTAATTACGAACTTCAAGTGGACAATATGTATACCAATGAAATGGCACGTTGTCTACTAGTTCAATCAAAGCATGCACCGAGGTCAATGTATTTTCATCGCATTCCTTAACATTCTTGCTCCTCGGTAGATCCATTACTGGTTTAGAACAACTGAAAGCAATAACGTCAAAGAGACTATATCTATCAAATTTATGGAATGATCTAAGACTTTCCTGCTTAATAGTATTGAACAGGTAATTTTTGGTGATTGAGATTTCGCTTGAGATTTTCAATTGCATCCCCCGCATCCGAAAATTTGAATATTAACCTCGGTCTCTACTCAGAAGTCCTCGAATTGGATACTTTAATCACATTATACAGGGNTTTATGCTCTTTTGAATGAGGTATCACAAGATAGGGGTTGCCATTTGAAAAAAAAAGTTGGGGTCCGCAGCCCCTCCCCACGGGGGGGCCCGAAAATTCTGGGGGGCCCCAAAAGTAGCTTACATTGATCGATGAACATCCCCAAAGTTTCGTTTCAAAATATTAATTAGGTAAAATTTTAGAGGGGGTGGAAGGGACTTTTGGGACACCCTGTATAATCTCGTAAGTCTGGCTGACTGTACCGGCTTGACCGTCCCGGTCCCCTGATGGCCAGGAAAATAGAGGGATCGCGCCCTTTGACAGAAAGGTTATCTCGTTCGTCCCTCGTGCGATTTTCTTTCGGTCAGCTGATGATTCGACTGCCCGACGCGTTTATCGTAATGGAAATCGCCGTGGTTGAAGGATTTAATAGGCAATAGGTAATGAAGACGAGCGATTGAAATCCTAACCCTAGATTAACTCCTTATTATGGTAATAACGTTTTTTATGAATAAACTAAAACTTTCTGCTCATAGAAAAATGAATAATTTACTTAGGTTCGATTGCACGCTTAACGTTACAATGACAGTCTCAACAACACGGAAATATGGCAACCTCAGTCTTGACGCTATGGCTCAGCTATAGGAAACTGTGCACATTTCGAACAACACAGGGTGGGAAGAAACAACGGTCGATTGAGTAGTTTGCTAAAGCCATTGTAGTGCGAGATATTTGACTCGCTTAGGGCTTTGTTTTTTCTTGTGACCGGGCAATTCAAATGTTCCGTAACCAAGGTGCAATAAAAACGGTAATATCTACGGTAGGAGTTAATTTCAGTAGTTTTCGTTGCGCGAATCGTGTTTTACGTAAAATTAAGATAACGAATCATGTATCAGTAAGTGCTTGCATTCGTACCTTGTTTAATGGTTTGTTCAATCTAAAAAAGCGAACGTAGAGAACTTTCCTAACTTTTCTCGGAAAAAATGTTTTATTAGGGAAACGATGCAACGTTGGAATGCTCATGCGGAGTCGAAACACAAAATGTCCCATTTAAGCCCCATGATTCGATGCCACGATTATTCTAATACAGTGCGGCCGGCTTTAAAGGCATATTAGCGCCTGCAAGACTGTAGGAATACTTCAGGCATTGCGCCAAACAGTGCGGTCGGCATAAGCGCCTACAAGACTGCTTGAATACTTCTTGCATCGCGCTAAACGCACTGCACTCGGTCACTTGGCGCGGAACGCCTATTAGCGCCTACAAGACTGTATGAACACTTCTCACATTGTGCCAAATGCAGTGCAGTCGGTCAGTTGGCGGGAAAGGCACAGTAACGCTATTCATTCCTGACTCTCTGCTCCGGTTTTTACCATAACAGAAGGAAAAATATGGTTTCTTATTGTAACGATTTAAAATTGGATGATATTTCATTTCCTCTTCAATTTAAGAAGGTTCCTTTCCGACTCGAGACTTAGATAGTCTAAAGTCCCTTCATACCCAGAGTTAAGATAACACTCGATTATCAGCCGACAGGCAGCCGGCCTTGGCTGGCCACGAAGGCACAAACGAGTGCACCCAAACGAACGATATTGAGGGATGAGGATAAGGAATCCTGCGATGTCTGTCATCCAAAAACAGCATCAACAAAATTGATCGATTAAAAAGAAAATGAGATTGGTTTGTGAATAATTGCTTAATCTGTTTTCATTTTGGACCGATGAAAATAACAATTTACTCTTGATAAACCACAATTAGGTAATATTTTCATTATTTTTGTTCACATTCGAGTCACTGCCATCTTGGTGCACTTGTTTGTGACTCCACGAGCGAGAACCAATCAGAATTGGATTCTTTTTAGGTCACTTTCAGCCCAACCAAAAGTGAGTTGTCGTAACTCTGGGTATAAAGGGACTCTAAGACAGTCCACATCCTAAGTGTAGCAGAAGTAAAGCAACCAGACTCGAGGAGATCCGTCACAGTAATCTGACACCGAGGTTTGTCTCCCGAGCCTTCCCGCGTACGTACCCCTCAATTCAACCCCTTCCCGTCACGCACGACATTCGTAACCTAGTGTTTCCCGATTACGGGAGTTAACGCAATTTATGAACTCCCCTCCGGAGCGGGGTCCGAAGAACAAGGAAGCGAGGCGGGGTCCGGCGTCCGGGGGAGGGGTAATTGGACCGAGCGTAATCTGTTACACTCGTCTGGAGTCCGCCGACTTCAAATGGGGTTTAAATGAATAGGTAAACCCGGGACGACGACTCCCACAATCGGCGCTATGCCATAAAACTACGGGGAGTAGCAGCCCCCCCGCGCATGTCCCGTCCCCCGGCACCCCCCCCGGCACCTCCCCCCCGTCTCCGTCCCGGGGTGAGCACGGAGCACCTCAAACCGGCCGAGTCAGTCGAAGTCGAGAGCGGGGCGGACAGGGTCTTTCGCGCGTCGTCCTCCGGAAACCGCCTTCTCCCATCGCTTCATCCCCCGCTTTCACCTGGAACGCTGCCCCCTTCCCCGGAGTGTGTGTCGGTCGTGTGTCGCGTGTCTCCGTGTGTGTGTTGTGGTCGCTGGAGTCCCCGCTTCCCAGACGTCATCGAGTCCGCTCAACTTTCGGTAAGCTTTGATCTCTCCCCGATCGGGAGTTTAAGGGATTACTCGCCCGCCGGACCAGCCAGTTGCTCGCCCCTTTATCTCCCCGGATAAAAAGGAGACGATCCTCCGACCAAGAATTTCAGAATCTTCAATATAACAAGATATTAATCAGTTGCACTTATTATTTGTGCTAAACTACGTGGAATTAATCAAATAGAGGCAATTTTATACGTGGGAATACCGCATGCTTATCAATAGTTCTTTTTTTTGTTCATACATAGAAAGTTCCTATTCGTAAAAGTGCACCTATTTGTAAAGCTCAAGAAGAGAAAAACGGGTTAAAGTTACTCATCCAGGGAACAATTCAAAAAGAGGTCTGGAAAAAGCGATGATAGATCCACTAATTTCCATTCAGTAAATCTACCAAACATGTAGTCAAACTAAGTAGTAGGATTTTGATTGTGATTACTAGATTTTATGGGTATGAGACGGAGCTAGGTAATCTGGTCATCTCTAGCTCTCGTTTTTCCGTTTTCATAAGAGCACAGGAATATGCGAGATTTTTCCACCTCAGTCAACAGGTTGATACATTCACTTTACACCTGTTACAATTGGAGGATAAAAAAAAAAAACCGTACCTTGCGGAAAATCCACATAAAAAAAAGTTTATAAGCAATTATCGCGGATGAAAGAACATCTTGATGGTTTTCTTCTCTCCTTCTCGAATAACTTGGGTCAACAAGATGAGATGCCCGAGGGTTCATTTACGCTTCATTGGAGAAACGAGGATAAAATCTGCTTGAAACTTAATTATTTATGTACAGTAAGCACTGTATTAGAATCATCGAATATTTTTCTCTTTTTTTCTTTATTACTCATCCATTTTTGTATTTATAAACGTAGATTGCGATATTTTTTCCAATATGACTACACCGTTTCTTCAGAATTTGAATAGAGATTACGGTAAATGAGGATGTTTCCTCAATGTCTAAACACATATACAATTATCTAACTTTACTCTCTCAAAAATTCACTGTTGAATTTTTAACAGTGCGCAATTTAACAGAGAGGAACCAAGCCTCAATATTGGCAAAAATGAGTTCGGAAAGGTTGGAGCTTAACTTGCCGCATATTTTCACCTCATACATTTTCAGAATAAAAAAGAATGAATACCTTGAACGAGAAACAGAATAGATGTTAACTTTCATCTCCGACATTGACTCTTATTAAATAATAAAAAAAAATCTTGAACTAATTTCTCTGCGCTCGATTTTAAGATGCCTTGTTTTCTTCCTCTGCAACTTTGTACAACTTGCGTTGGGTTCAAAAACAATTAGTAGACGCTTCCTGCACTTTTGGGGGAATTAAGTACTATTAAACCATGCTGGTGGTCCATCGGGCGAATAATTGATAACAGATTTTTTGACCTCAAAAACTTCGCTATCAGAGGTAGTGACCTACATTCCCACCAAAGAAAAAAACGTGCTGGATGATATCGAATCCAGAGGCGGATCCAGCAATTTGGCAACACCGGATTTCCTCCATTTAAACCTATGCTAAATAATCGGCTCTTGTCGGAGCGCCTGGCCCCCTCAAAAATTGATACATTTCCATAGGTTTAAATGGAGTAAATCCTGTGTTGCCAAAATGCTGGATCCGCCAATGATCGAATCAGCTAATCCGCATTAGTGTTGCGCTCTAACTCATTTGTGCTGCTCCAACTTATTGCAGGATAAATCCAATAAGTTTGCTGCACAGTACCGATAAGGTAATGCACAACACCTATTTGGCTCAGCTGAGTCAAAATAATCCAACCCTTTCTCAGTGCTCAGCGGCGTGGCGTGTTCTGTGATATATCGATTGATCTGCCATTGAAAGCTATGGAAAAGGGTCGATAAACAGGGTGTTCGCAAGGATACCTTAATTATCGATTCTATACCGTAGCTTCAAATGGGGAAAAATCGATAATCGATCATTCACGCCTCACCCATGTCAGTGTTCAAGCATGTCGTGCGTATACATAGGTATAGTTTGTCCTGCAAAATCAACAATTAAACTTGAGATATCCCAAAATATTTTTCCGAAAAATCGAAACTTTATTGTAAAATAACGTTTTTCAGTGAAAATTCCCAACTTTCTGCAAAATTCTCCAATGATGGATTTTAGGGTAGTTTTCCCAATCTCTAGGCTAAAAATGCATGGAGGTCTTTCAAGCTGTCCCTCACAGAATAATATGATCAAATATTTGCTAGGCTGTGTCATCAACCCTTCTTGAGCAAACATAATTGAAAGGACAGAGCAGTACTGCCGTGCTAAGGAAGAACGCCGTATGAACATTCGAGAGTTGCAAAATTTCCTTTGATGAAATGTTTATTTTTGAGGAAAGTTATCGATATTTTCCCTTGAAATTCTCAGAAACTGCAGATGAAATTGCGAAAAAAATTGTCTATAAAATTGGAAGGAAAATATTCATAAGTTTATTGGGAAATTTGTGTTTTATCAAAGGAAACTTGGCAACGCCTAAAGGCTCATACGGCGTTCTTCCTTAGCACGGCAAAGTAAAGGAAGAGATATTTGCGACTACACACACTCACACACTCAGTGAAGTAAAATTTCACGTGTCTCCGGAAGTCCATAAAATACGCGAGTATTTAATCCGAGAGAAATAAGTAAAAACGACTCCCTCTTTTCTCTCTCTATGAATAATCTAAAGAGTTAACACAGTCTGACACAATTATTTTTTCTTGTTTATAGAGCCACCTCACCTTCGTGATAAAAAACCGTCTCCTATTTTCAGCAGGCGGCGAGTATTTTTTTGTAATTTCCTTATTAAAACGTGTGAGAGCTCATAAAATGCTTGCGCATGCTTTTGTGGTACCCTATGATGTAATAAACTGAGTCTCACGTGAATAATGACTTATCCAGCACTTATACTTTAACTTTTGTCTATGAATTCACATATAAAAGCTTTTTGCATGGAGGGGCATTTGTTATAGAAAGGGAAAATAAATCACAAAATACTCTATTCAATAGTTGTAATGAGGAATCTAATCGCAAATTTTTATTTTTTTTTTTTAAATTTTCCATGGAGAAGTTTTTCAAGTATTGTAATCTCGAGACAACAGACTTGTGGACCAGCTCCATACGTATATATACATATTATTGATGTGTGTGTAGTAAACTGTAAAACTTTTGATGAAATGATGAAATCAAGCACTTCGGTTTGCGACATTACAGATTTTCTATCACATTACCTATATTTTGGAGGTCTCACGAAGAAAATATCTAACTTAAACTGATGACTGAATATATTAATGAACGTTGAATTCGCCAGTAATATGTATCACAGAATTACTCACGAGCATTCTGGCTCTCTTTGTTCTTCAATTTCACTGCAGATGCGTTTCGCCCCCCATACGGGGCTTCTTCAGTGCTGACATCTAACACTAAAACACTAAGAAACACTAAAAACTAAAACGCGTCTGCGGTGAAATTGAGGAACAAAGAAAGCAGGACTGCTAGTGAGTAATTTCGTGAATATATGAATCTTCATAAGGAATGTGCTTAGAAAACACAAAAATCAGCTCCACTCATCTTATTATCTAACGTTACCCTATAAATTTAATGCAATTCGTTTAGTATTAGTTTTAAACCACACTGGAAAAAATTACATTGGATCCAGAGTCCAGACTCTTAAAAACATCGACAAGAAAAAATACTCTTGATTCAGTCAGATTTAAGCTTAAATCAAGAACCAAGCCTCTTAATTTGAGAGGATTTCCTTTTGATTTAAGCTTAAATCTGATTGAATCAAGAGTATTTTGTCTTGTCAATGTTTTTAAGAGTCTGGACTGTAGATCCAATGTATATTTTTCCAGTGCATGTAAAAAGATACAAGAAAATACTTGTAGTCGTTACGTTATATTTAAATAAAATTCCTCTCAAAAAAAGAAAAAAAAGAAAAAAAATTAGCTCAATAAAATAGCGCAAACCTCTTTACGCAGCCATCGGATGTTTCACCGCGAGGTGATTGGAGTAAAATCAAACACAAACCCCTTCACAAAAGGATGTCGTTTTGATTAATGCGTGATCTCTCCGTACGAGATTCCGCCTCGGCGAGTCAATAGGCACGACACCTATTTATCTTTTGTGGCTCGTCTTCATAAAAGCGGGTTGTCAAGAGAAAAGCTACGTTTGAAAAATTGCGTTCGCGTTGACCGCCGCGCACGAACACGGAGCGAAAACACGAGGATCCCCGTCTGAGCTCCGCGGGGCCGCGACACGCAGCCTGCATCGCAGCGAGGGCGAGCGGGATGCATCGCGGGGCGGGGAAGGGGAGATTGGCCCCGGATTCGGGGGCGCTTCTCCAGTATGTAACCCGTAACTCTTCCGAGCTCATCTCGGCGAGTGCGCCGACCCAGCCAAGTTGGCCAGAAGTTCGGCTGCCTCGCGGCGGCAAATTGCTTGCTTGGCCTGAAAAATTGTACACGCTGATTGATGCCGCCTTCTCGGAGATTAGGGGAAACCAGCGCACGAACTTTTGGGCCAACGCTGGAAGAAATCTGGAACACATTTCACGGTTTTCATTAATTGTATATATGGACCGTATACTTCGCTCCCCTTTGATGGGGTGTCCAAAATCGCCCCGAGAAACCGGAGTGTTTACGTTATTTTCCAGGAGCACAATATAGTACCTATACTGCCGTGCTAAGGAAGAACGCCGTATGAACATTCGAGAGTTGTCAAATTTCTTTCAATAAAATGTTTATTTTTGAGAAAAATTGTGAATATTTTGCCTTGGAATTTTCAGACACTTTACATCAAATTACGAACAAAATTATCGGAGAAATTGGCAGAAAAAAATTCAAAAATTATTCTGAAAATTAGTGATTTGCCAGAGGGAATTTGGCAACGCCTGAGGGCTCATACGGCGTTTTTCCTTAGCACGGCAGTGTACTCGTATAGGGAGAGTATGGACACGTCAACAATTTTGAGGTTAGGTGATGGAGCTCTTAGATTCC